TATTTAGATAGCCTAGATCTAGGGCTATCTAGTGATATCAAAATTATTAGAGAAATCCTAGAAATTAGTGATTTTTATCTAAAATGGTGCGGGTTGGTTAATCAAATCCAATAAATCCTCAAAAACCATAACCAACAGTTTTAACCGAACTCGGATCGGTTTCACCTAGGGGGAACCGAAACCGGTGCGATTCCCTAGGCTAGGGACCGAACCCAAACCGCTGCGAGTTCAGTGAGGGTCGGATTCGATTTTAGCGGTTCGGTTATGCAACTCTATTCCTGTAATATAAGCTGAAAACCCTTAAATAAGTTAATACTAAAGGCAAATGCTTAGCCATCTTCCTATGTCTGCATGATAACACAGACATTAGCATCTTACTTGACCCCATATTTACAGGCACTTTTAAATAAATACTTCTGGAGCCTGTATCTTTACTAACCTTTTGCCTGTGGCCTGTCAGACTGGTAAGGGTCTTGCTACTATATAATAGTCTATTTTCTTTCTAGTAAGAGAAAGCATGAGACCAGAAGTACTGCTATAATGATTTTAGGAATAGAGGATTAAAAAGAGTGTCTCTAGAGCCACAGTCCTTCTGACCTATAGTCCTTGAAATAAAACTAATAGCTAGTATGGATTTGTTCTCTTAGACTTTATAACATATGTAATATTAAATCACTAGATAATACTAACGATAGGCACTAGTTTCCTACTACTTAAAGGCAACTAAGTCCCTAGGAGATCTTTTAGCTTGCTGCATCTTCTTTATTATTATCTAAGTAAGATGGAGCCTACAATATTATACGCCATTGCTGCAGGTAGTATTTTCTTGCTTCTAGTTCTGGTATGAATTACTCTATTATTTAGACTACTAGTAGAAACTCTCTCCAAGTTGGTTGCGAAGCATGTTACCTACCCATATCTTTTAGGTCGTCACTATCTTATAGGACCTTGGACTCAACTGGCCGTTTTACTTTCTCTTGCGTATGGAGTTGTCAATATTGTCTTTGTGACTTTTCATGCTTCAACAACCAGCGAGATATTCTCCGTGTATGTCCCGTACATGGACTACAGCCAAAACTACGAAGAGACCTCAATCCAGCCTATGCTGAGGGAGATTGAGACCTGCATCCGACAAGCGACAGAAACCACAGCCAAGTTAACCACGATTATCATGGCAGGGGACTTCAACCGCCACCACCCAATGTGGTGCAAGGATCGCGTCCACCATGGGGCAATCGAACTAGCCGAAGAACTAGTCAACTTTTTCCAGGAACATGGACTCCAGTTGTGTCTGCCCCGAGGCACCCCCGCATTCTGGTCTATGAGCCATCCCGGGAGCCACTCGACCATCGATCTCACTGTAACAGACACACCGGGAAAGCTCGTGAAGTGCCACCTGTACCACGACCACTATGGATCGGATCATCGGGCAACCTATTCCGAGTGGTCCCTCCAGCCGGCCCGCAATACCGATCGCAAACCTCGAAAAGCGTACGACCGTGCAGACCGGAGACGGATCGGAGAATCTGCCCAAGCTCAGATGTCACAACTTCCACCCATTCAGACGAGGGCCGAACTCGATGATCAGTGGCGCAACTCATCTCACACACCTGCTCCGCAGTAGACTTGTATACGCCAACTGCCAAACCATCACCGTACTCCAAACAGTGGTTTATCCCAGAACTGAAGTTACAGCAATGCGAGGTCAATAGGGTGCGGAGGAAATGGCAGAAAAGCTGTACAGAGAAAGGACGGCATGACAAGGTATCAGTAAGCTTATTCGAAGACATGCGCCAGAAACGCCGGGTGTGGACGAGAACCATTGAAAAAGCAAAAGCCACCCATTAGAAGGAGTTTCTCGACAGCGCTGGGGAAGGTCACCTCTGGAAAGCAATTTCATATACACGCGCGCAAGAGTCATATACCAGCATACCACCGTTACGACGAGGGACAGAAGAAATCAAGGACTACGCAGAGAAAGCGAAGCTACTCATAGAGACTTTCTTTCCTAATATAGCACAGCCGGAGGATGAGGCACACACGGAACAGAGAGAAGAGATACCATGGGTGCCCATCACAGAAGAAGAGGTCCACCGGGCCCTCCAGGCCGCCAAACCCATAAAAGCACCTGGAGAAGATGGACTGCCAATGCTAGTATAGAAGCAACTATGGCAATGGCTGGATGGAGTGATTCTTCAGGTTTTCACAGCATTGGTTAATCTAGGCTACTACCCAGAACAGTAGAAGCGAGCGAAAATAATTGTGTTGCGGAAGCCCAGGAAACCTGACTATACCATCCCTAGCGCGTACCGTCCGATTTCTCTGTTAAACACACTGGGCAAAGTCCTTGAAGCTATCCTGGCTAAAAGACTATCATATTACGCAGAAGCACATCACCTGTTACCAATTACTCAGTTTGGCGTTCGCCCAGGTCATAACACTAAACAGGCGCTCCTCATTCTGAGGAACGCCATCGACCGAGCGTGGCTATCATCGAAAGTGATCACACTGGTTGCGTTCAATCTCAAAGGGGCCTTCAATGGGGTTAACAGGGACACCCTTGACCAACAGCTCAAAGTAAAAGGGATCCCAACCAAAGTGCAAACCTAGGTTGCCAGTTTCATGCAAAACCATTCAGCAAGCATTTTATTCAATGACTTTGAGTCCCCAGTATGCGCTCTGGAAAATGTAAACCTAGCTCAAGGCTTACCCTATCACTAATTTTGTTCATCTTCTTCAACTCCAAACTAGTGGATCAGCCAGTGGATTTCCACAGAGGTGTATCCGCGTTTATCAATGACTACTTCCAGTGGCGCGCAGGGAAATCTGTAGAAGAGAACCTCAAAAAGCTCCAGGATGAGGATATCCCTCGCATAGAGCAGTGGGCCCAGCAGACAGGATCATATTCTGCTGCGGAAAAGACTAAGCTCATCCACTTCACCAGAAAGAAAGACGAGCAAACAAGAGGGCAGCTAGCAATGCAAAGTGCAACTGTCAAACCCTCTGCAATAGCTAAGCTGCTCAGAGTAGTTTGGGGCTGCAAACTCAGATGGAAGGAGCATGTACAGTAGGCAGTCAAACAGGCAACCAAGGCTAATATCACCCTGGGAGGACTTCAGCACCTTCGCCCTGGTCAGACAAGACAGGTCTATCAGGCTTGCGTGACACCCATTCTGGACTACACATTAACAGTCTGGCATAACCCTCTTAAGGATAAGAGGCATCTCAAATGGCTTGACATGGTGCAATGATCAGCCTTAATTCAAATCCTATCTGCATTTCAAACCACCGCAATGGCAATGATGGAAGTGGAAACATACATATTACTAACGCACCTAAGACTTAAACAGAGAGCATAGAATATCATAGTTAAGCTGTATACACTTCCTCGCAGCCACCTAATACATGATGTCCTGTCAAGGGCTTGAAGGTGATGTGATAACATAGGGGTCAAGTATTAGTTCCCCCTCGCTGAGTCAATGAAAATAATGAAAGTAGAGTAACTAACTAGGTTAGAGACAATCAACCTAACGCCAACCACTCTGTGGAATGCCCCTCCATTTATTGAAATTAACATTAAACCAGACCATGACAAAGCGAAAGAAAATACCACAACCCTATTATTATCTCTAGGCAGAGTTATCCACTCAGATACATCAGGGCGAAAAGGCCTTCTTAGGGCAGCAGCAGTAATATTAAATAGGGACCAGGCTATGGCAGACTCCTGACAAGTCTCCATAGGCCTGATAGTAAATTAGTTAGTCCATGCAGCAGAGCTCATCAGCATATTCTACACTATTAGCCTTGTCCTTAAAACAGTCAGGCTGAGGCCCACTACCGTGACAACGCCAGTACATGAAATGATAATAATTCTCTGCGGCAACACATCAGCACGATAGGCAATCAGGAAGCCATGGAATAAGTCAGGACAGTGGATTATCTATGCCATCTTGTAGGCAGCCATAGAACTGAAGGCGCGAGGCATTCCCCTCCGCCTCTAGTGGATCCTGGGACACAGTGATAATCCTGGCAATGATGCTGCAGACAAACTAGCCAAAGAAGCAGTTGGCCCAGATAAGATGCATCCTTTCTGCCATCTAGTCTCCTAAGAAAGGACGGCCATCCGAAAGAACATTCATTGAGAATGGGAACAGGAATGGAGAACATCCAAAAAGGAGGGCACCTCCAGCAATTAATGCTGAGTTGCCAGCCCACCGCATGAGATGACTATATGACTTGCTGCCACGAAATCACGCCTACCTCCTTACCCAATTGCGGGGTGACCACTGCTGGCTGGCACCCATGGAAAGCTGCACGGATTCTGAGACGATGATAAATGCGAATGCGGAGCTAAGGAAACCGTTGCCTATATTATACTTAACTACCTAAAACTAAGGATAGCATGGCAAACCCTCCGCAGAGAGACTGAAGAAGCATTCAGTGATATCTCAGTGATGCTAGGAGGAAATAGGGAAACCAGCCATGTGAAGGCTATATTAGATTTTGCAGAGGCATCTCAAAGGTTTCATAGCCGCGGACCGAGGGATCCGCAAGGACAGAACCAAAGGTAAATGGCCAACACAGGCCCCTAGGCGAGGCTTAAAGTTCGCCCTTAAGAAATGGGACGATGTACAATAGAGACACGAGGGCAGAGATATAGTTGTAGTAGCCTGCATATCGCTTTCAAGCGAGGGGTCAGGGTAAATGACATCACCACCACCACCACTCTAGCGGTGACCAATCGTTCCTACGTCACGCGGTTCTTATGCGGTATAATCAGCCTAATATTATAGGCATCTTATAATCTAAAGAGACTCAAGGCTTCTATATATAGAGTGATTTCTATTAGTATAATTAATTTCGATTAGCATGCCCATGACTGTCACATTCAATAGTAAGAACTAAACTAATACCTAATGCTTCTTCATTGTAGGGCCTCGCAGCAAGTGACTTGGTAGTAAACAATTCAGGTAGTCTGCCATGGCTCATTTGATTAGTTCTCAAGCCACCGTCTGACTGTGCATACCGTCCAAAACCTCCTCAACATAGTCTTCGTAAGTAAGAAAGGTAAAGTCTGGATATAATTCCTTCCCATCTAGGTAACCAAGATACTTGGCATACTCCGGGGTATTGGTTCCGTGCACGTTCGAGGCCAGAAAGACCTCCCGTAGACTGACCACGCCGAGTGCAATATCCGACGATGGGTTCCGTTCCAGCTCATCCAGAGCTTCCTGGAGCCAGCTCTGGACACATTTCTCGGATATCTATAGGATGAGAAGGTATGCCGTTAGCATTTACAGTACTTCAATAAACCCTAGTAGGAGATTGGTCGTAGGGCGAAAGTAAAGACCACTAACATATCTGCGCTGAGGCATTTCTCCAGTCAAACGCTCCACTAGATCGCACAGCTGGTTCTGGGTGTAAAGCTCATTGTAAACAAATACTTTCTTGTTCACTGTGCGCGGGTCAAGAATGATCCTTGCGATATACCGCCCAATATCTCTGATATGCGTCAAACCACTAGGTATGTTTCCATCGAGGGCTATCGGCAGATCTGGCATGCCAAATGGCAGGGCGTGCTCGGTGCGTCCGGATGCAACTCTGGGAAGTACCACATGGTACCACCAACCGACATCGATGTATGTGTATGGAAGGCGGAGCTGTTGGATGTGACTCAGGATCACTTCTTTCTGTTTGGTAAGCATTAGCAAACCATTCTGCGTAACTATTGATCAGAGCGGCGGGTATATACACCTTATCCCGCAAGTGGGTGACTCCCCTCGCAGCCGCTGGGATATTGTAAGCTGACTGAACAAACCGCTTCACTCCTGCGGCCTTTGCTGCGTTGGCGAGTGGGATTTCGTCGTCTAGGCTGCCCCAATAAATGGCAGAGATGACCACATCAATACTGGAAAGTAAGTCGACGAGCTTTTCCAGAGGACCTCTGAGATTTGCTGCTACAACCTGAACCCCTCTTTCCTTTAGCTGTATATTCGCTGGTTTATTGAGTGACTCCGGCCGGGTCAAAGCGGTGATTTTCTGAGTGAGTTAGTATAGGGATTCATGCTCGCGAAATAGAGAGGCCATATACGACTGTCAGACCGGTTAGGGCAAGCAATCCGTTAACAATTGATCCCCCGGTGACACCACTGGCTCCAACAATAGCCACATTTATGGTGTCAGTGATCGCCATAGTGACGGCTTGGGTTTGACTGAAGGGCTCCTGAAGAATTTCTTGAGTGGGAGTAGTGAACAGAGGTCCGGTACTGTTGTTTATCGTAAATGAACAATGCCTATTTCTAATACATTCTCCAACACTAGAGCCTGTTGAGACAATGTGATTTATTCCAAGTATACTTTTGCTGTATTGCTGCTTTTCTGTTGCCTGTACATATGTCGGATAAACAGACAAATAGCGGTGTAGGGTAGACCCTACAATGAACAGTTTGACGGTTATCGCCTTTACAAATTACGCGAGGTTGCTGGGTTGCTGGACATGAGAAGCTTCGTCCACTTTGCCTCCACCTCTCTGATCATAGGGGATTCAGTCCATGAGACGCATGCTTGCCCAGGAAGATCTGTTTGTCGCAGGAATGAATGGTGCGCCGTAACCCTGTCCTTGCCGAACACGACCCTCAGATGGGATATATCCAATGGTCCATAAGCATGGTATATCGCTCCTTGCCGACAAAGTGGCAGAAGTATCGAGTCGAAGACAGAAAGATAATATTACAGTATGAAACGGCCCACAGATCAGAGCAATACGTATGGCAGTTTTAGTTCCATGTATTCGGTTGAGCAAAGAAATCATGACGATTACAGGACTTTCGTGTCATCGTCAATATGGCTTGCATGTTCTTTCAGCCTGTACTATGGAAAGTATCTGTAACCAGTATCTGACCAACGAGCTATGTCTTTTTGCTGAACGCTATTATCTACCTGCTTTCACGGGATTCCATAATGCGTTATATCACCTTCAAGACACTCCCAGTTTACAGCCCATTAATTCCGTACAAGTAGTGGTATAACATACAAAGGTGATGGTATATATAGCCTTACATTCATTCTTTCATTCCTCACATTCGGGAATGCGAAGAACAATTACAGCCCATTACCACCCCTTACATTACCCACCCCTTGCTCTCTCTCCTTTGTACTCAAAGTCCCAGTCAGATGCCATATGCAAGCCACAGCTCTTGTACCCGGAATGTTTCTAGACATTTATTCACTTTAAGGATTTGTGGGATTTGTGTCGTGCAGGTTATTTTAACTTGTCGGGTGCTGTTTGTTCCTCACCAGACCGTATTCCTTTCGCCAAAATGCACATAGCAAGGGGCTCTGAGCGCCAGCCACAAAATTGATACAAGTAGAAACATTATTAAATATAATCAGCAAAACAATTTGTATTAAGATCTCCTATTATATGTTTATCACTTCCATAGCCTTCCTGTCGTGGTCTATTTACATGGGATATGGCTATATGTGCCATATTATTCCTCAGCAGCTGTGGTTGAGAATAACATTCCAACCCTCCCGCAGCCCAACATTTCAATATCCCAAAGATCCCAATGCTTCACAATGGACCCGTGGATTGCGCTTTCGTCTCCCTTGACCTCCCAGACAGTTGAATATGTCGCCAATACGCTCAGGATAATGTGTGCTATCAGTTGGAATATAAGTTATATGTCCATGGCCTATTATTCCTTCCGCGATAAGACATACGGCAACGCGCTGATCCCACTGTGCAATAATATCGCTTGGGAATTCGTCTATTCCTTCATTCACTGCCCCAAGCTTACCTTCGTCCGCATTGAGAACACCGGCTGGTTTCTTCTCAATATAGTGGTCATGTATGCCGCAATCAAATACTCAGAAAATGAGTGGAAGCATGCACCGCTGGTGCAGAGAAACCTTCCCTTTATTTTTGCCGTGGGGATCTCAGCGATGATTGCTGGACACTTGGCCCTTGCTGCCCAGATCGGGCCCCGGATCGCTTTTGTCTGGAGTGCGAAGGGATGTCAGCTTGTGCTCAGCACCGGTGCCCTCTCCCAGCTACTCTCTCGTGGCAGCACTAGAGGCGGTTCCTACGTCGTCTGGTACGATTTGCTCATCCTTGAATATGCATCAACTCATTTTTGGCTGATTTCTTGGAAAGGCTGTCGAGGTATTTAGGCACCGTTTTTATTGATGTCATGGTGACCATTCGTCATGTATATCGCGCAGCAGGACCCTCCTGGCCAAGCAGCCCTCTGCTACTGTGGTTCATGGCGGTATTTCATCTGCTGGACTGGACTTATGGTTTCTGCTTTTACCATATTAGGCGCCAGGAGCTTGTCAGTGAAGCAGCAGAAAAGGACAAGGACAAATGAGGATATCAACTTCCGAGTATTGTAGTGCGATGGAACATTGTTTGCTATTTCTGAGCTATTGGCCGCCTCGATGAGAGTGATGTATGTACCTTTTCGCGGTGTCTGAATATGTTCTTCCGTCTTCAGTCTAGTTAAACATACATATCTGTGTATCTATATATATCTATATGCTGCTTCTCCAGTGAAAGGAAGTAAATCCAAGAATATGTACCAATAGCAGGTACCTCATGGGAACTACAATACCGAATATCTCCTACTTCAGTTAAACAAAGATCTCAAGCTGAATGTTGAACGACTGTGAACCCTTATCCGCTGGAAACTCCAATGATTGCTGTTCTCTTTTTCCGTTTCAGGTGAAAGCCACAATTGAGGATATTGGAAATAATAGCACAAGGGCAAAAACTACCACACAAGAGAACTAAAAATATAGACCCAGGCCGGAGCCACCAACACTATACTCATCAGGATATATTGAATCCGCTTATGCCCATTCTGCCCATCTCTACAATTACCGGGTTTCGGCCACCCCGGCCCCGATCGCCGCTTTGGCTGTGGTAGGAAATCGAGGACTGCTCCATCCACTATCAACTGAGAAGCCATAACTGCTAGGCGATCTTTTGTCAACGGGATCACATATCGCCCCAGAATCCTTTTAAAGAGGTCATCGCGGGTATGCATACGCACACCAAACTTGGAGCGCCGATAAATCTTTTCCATCCGTGGATATCGTATGGCCTCGAAATTCTCCAGCATTCTGTTTACGGTAAGATCCGATGGTTGCTTGATCGCCTGGATATTGACCAAGTGGTTGATAAGTGAAGCCAGCAGAGCTGCATCTTCAATTCCGCTATTCGCGCCCTGTCCGATGTTTGGGGTCATCTGGCTCATGGGATCAGTGCATTGGGTCGTCAATTGAGAAGGAAGGAAAAAAAGTAAAGAGGAAAAAAGATACCTTGTGAATACTGTCTCCTAATAAAATGGCCCGCTGATAATGCCATGTGGTGAAGATGTTTTCTTCCAGAGCAGTCATAGAGGCCACTTCCCTCGCCTGCCAGAGGTGACCTATACAGATATCCCTCCAGATACGAATCTTCGCCAGCGCCGTGCAGCTTCTCTCTGCGTCGTCTAATGAGAAGCGAGGGACATTTGGATAAGTGAATTTTCGATCAAGCTTTTGAATGACAAACCAATATACTCGGCCTCCTTTTCCGTGGAATGTCAAGACAGTCAAGCCATTCATGTATGCGTTGACATGTTCTCCGCTTGCCAGACCAGGAAGCGGAGACGAGATGCCAAATATGCAACTGTATTCGACGGTCATACCTGCTTGTGCAATGGTCACTATGGTGGTTCTCATATACAGAAAGTGCAAATCCACTGACTTTGCTTTTCTTCCGCTGTGACCAGCCCGGGTTGATTGATGTCCGCCAGTCGCCATATCTCTGAGCGAAGGCGGCTATGGACTCCGTCGGCACCGACAATTAAATTGCCTTCATATGTGCTTCCGTCGTCAGTCATGACACAGGCTGCGCCATCGGATTGTCGAAGCTCAGTCACTAGCTTGTTCACTAGAATCTTGGATTTGTTTGGATAGGTTTTGTACAAGACATCTAGCAACTTTTGCCGGTCCATGAAAAAGACAGGATATCCGAATCTGTCCTAGATCAGCTACCGTACTACCCATGTAGGTGAGAGGGAAGCCGATTACCTTTCGCGGATCTGCCTGAAGAGTGTGTTGGAATAGGAGAAGCCGTCAGGGTAAACCACATGCATCACGTTCAACGGCTCGGTCAACTTCTCCAGCTCGCCGTACAGACCGAGCTGGTCCAATATTTGACCTCCATTAGGCCAGAGACCTATAGAGGCTCCTTCCTGTGGAGCAATCTCATGTCGCCTCTCTAGAACAATGTGGTCGATATTTGCTTGGTGGAGACAGTGGGCTAAAGTTAGCCCAGTGATTGATCCTCCAACAATGACAACTTTGAATTTTGCTTTCTCCATCACTCGGGTCTGTCAAGTCTGGTTGGGTAAATCAGGTGCGAACCTTGAGAAATAGTCCCTCTTCACATCGAGAATAACACTCTTATTATCAACATTGGTACGGATAGGTCGCCAAGCATTTGTTTCTGGCGTGGATTTGTCCTGGTGCTCAAAATACATGGATATCGGTCCACCAACGTGCCGAAACAAAATAACATGAAAGGGGCAGAATGGTTAGCTGGCAGATAAGAGGACTGCATTCCTGCGGTTGTATTCCCACCTTGCTTGGAGAGGCAGGGCCCTCGGACTGAATTGTGGATCAGAATCTAACTTGAGAAATAATTTTAAACATTCCGTAACATTGCTGGACACCGTTGTGTACGTGGAGCTTCCATTGGTACGGATACAACCCGGGTACTGCTGTTCTACCAACCAGGAGCTTTACGAACCCCCACCGGGTATCAATTCCAATCCCTGCTTCCATTGGTACCAGCCTGCTTCTCTAGAAGAACATCTGGCCATTCCGTAGAATTGACGGCGAAGGGAAACGTGTACCCTCGATGATTCAGTCCCTAGCGTAGGACGTACGTGGAAACCCGAACTCACTTTTTACTTTTAGGAAAATTAGCGAATAACGCGCGGGCGAACACAGGAGAATAAGTCTCGACGTATTAAAGGTATATTGCTTTTATTGCGTCGGAAGCTATCCCAGTGAGGAGCTATGAGTCTCGTTTTCCATTTAAAACCCATCCACAAAGAACAACAGAGCCCGGCTTTCACCAATCCTGCTCTAAGAATCTACGTCCCCATCACGATGACTGTTGAAACTATAACCCCCCAAACACCTGTGTCTCTTCCGAAGACCGCTGTCATTTGCAACGATTTTAAACTAGATCGAGTGAACGAGCCAGCTAGGAGCATCTTAGAAAAATATAGCAAGATCCCTTCGCGAGAAATTTTGGAGCACGTCAGGAAAATAGTATGTTACCCAACTTGGCCGTATCCAAGGAATGCTAATTAGAGGCGTGTAGAGGGATGAAGCATTTGCTGAGGTAGCTTTTAATCCTTATACCTGTCAAGCCAGGCACCAATCTTGCTGAGGACTGCCATAGTTTCCCTATCCTTGTATCGGACGGTTCTCTTTTCTCGACCTGAGTATCTCTCAGTCACCTAAATATCCTGAGATCCTTCATCGCGTGGTGAATGGAGAAAAGTTCCTGGACCTGGGATGCGCGTTTGGACAAGAACTTCGTCAACTTGTGAGTGATTTCATCAACCTGTTTTTTTCAGATTTGCAAAACGAAGGGAAAGAGGCATGATCCGCTGAACCAGAAGCCAGGTGTACGATGGAGCCCCCTCGGATAACCTCTACGGATCGGATCTTCACAACGGTCTGATGCATCTAGGCTACGACTTGTTCCGTGATGTCTCCACCCTCAAGTCTAGGTTCATCGCGACCAATATCCTCGAAGGGAACAGCGACCTTATCTCCCAGCTGAGTGGACAGATGAATATCATCTACTCATCCCTATTTTTTCATCTTTTTGACTGGGACCAGTCATTGGTGATAGCCAAACATGTGTTGCGCTTGCTCTCTCTACAGCCAGGCTCGATGATTACAGGCCGTTTCGTAGCTTACAGAGATTGGAACTTCGCGAAGGAGAAATTGGGATCAACCCTGCGGTTCTATTTTGACCTGTCGAGTTGGACTCAGCTGTGGAAGCAGGTTGAAGTTGACACGGGAAGTAAACTGAACATAGAGCATTGGGAGCAGAGCGACAATATGCTCACGGACAATGGGATAGGTGGGTATATGCTCTGCTTTGCAATCACTCGGCAGTAGACTGTGTCTTTTATTCTGCCACATTCCGTCACTTAGATAGTGACTCATTTATTATGTACCAAGCTGGTCACAAGAAGTGGGATTTGCAGCCGAGTCTATAAGTTTAAGGAAGCCAAGTTATGTAGAGCGCAACGCAACCGGCCTCCTCATTCAAGACGTCTAGCTTATTGAATCGTGGGAAACAACCATCAGGTACAGAAAATAACCCAAGCTACAAACCATGAGGAATGAAGAGAATTAACAACATCTCCCAGACACAGGGTCAGAGTTAAACAGCTGCTGCTTTGCTACAAAAAGACAGGACAATTAAACTTCAAATATAAACGTATCAATCAAATTCTAAGACGATGAGATACTTGTTTAAGCAACAAGTAACTGGAAAATGAAACAGAAATCATAACCCCAGTAATAAGTCTCGTCCATATCTACAAAAACCTGGAATGGTTGCACTCAGTCTAAGGGTCAGATCTAACAGGGGTTAGAGTCTCAGCCATCGTGGCTGTGGCTGATTGTACATGTTAGATTTAGCTTTGCCTTCATGAGTGGGAATTACGTTTTTTTTCGATCACTTCACAACTTTACTCATACTTATATTGTACAAATCAGCATGCGAGAATTTAATTCCATTTCCTCCTAAAATCCATCCTCTCGATCCTCAAGAAATACATGTGAGTCGAGTTGACATTGTTGAAATAAATTGTCATAGTCTTATGTTGAATACTTCCAGAGGTGGTACATAGGTTATTGTTGGTAATAAACTAGTCCCTGCGGATCCGCCAGTCCCTGCTCCTAAATAAGTCTAACGCCCTCCAAAAACAAGACATCTGACATCAATGCTCTCGCGGGGAGGAGCATCTTTAGGTACGAACGGGTGCTTAAAGGCGCAATGGGCCGACCCTAGTGCCCGGTTAGTCATATCTTGGTCATGATGATCTTGAGGGTACGTTGGAAAATGCGGAAAAAAAGGGACAGTCACGTACGTGGAGATGGGACAACTTCCGAATCATAGTTTTTAACGATGCTGACCTCATCACTGCGCTGTCTACTGAGATAATACCATTTCTGCGTCTCCGAGAAGCTGAGTTGGAAGGGTGGTTCGGTATCCTTCTTCTCGTACCTGAGCCAGTGGACCGGGTGCAAGTCGTCGGGGGCTATGGTTCGTCCATCAACAACGGCTAAAGGCCAGTCGAGCACCGGCTCGACTAAAGGGCGCCATACACTGTTCGTCCGCAATAACTGTAAGCTGTTGTATCATGAAAATCCTGGGCAATTACCTGAATGCGCGGAAACGAGACTGCAATAGCCGAACTGCATCCTCGCCACAGAGCTTATGAGTCAGTTCAATGGCTGCTGCTGGAGTGCTGGATAAGAGTGTTAGTGGATAGGAAGGACAACATGTAGATAGTGGCGTACTGATCGCAGTGGACCTGATAAAACGGATAAGTTTGTGTTTCAATTGTGAAAGGGAATAATACCTACCGTTCTGGCAGGCTGTCCGAATATTCCCTTTTCCGAGTTCTCCTTGCGAGTGTAGGGGCTGAAACAGACGACATGGTCAGCCCCAGTAACTCGCTTCACGAGCGCAGCCACAGAAGCAAAGTAATCCCCTTCAACTGCAGCTGTGTCGTCTGCCCTGATACGTTCAATAAGCTGCGGAGAAATGGCATCTTCGACGAACGTAAAACCATGGGTGTTCAGATCGAACGAATCACGTTGGGGACGGGCATCATGGAATCGGACCTTGTGAGGAGTCCAGTTGAAGTTTGCCTGAGTCTGGCCAGGCTTGGGGTAACGCGATAATATAACTCCTCTTTGGTGCCTGCATCGGGCTGTACAAAGAGCATCTCACTTTCACACCAGGTCCGTGATCCAACCATCTTGACGATTAGGGAGCGGGTAGTTCGTATAGGGTAGGAAGTGAATGGGGCAGCGACGAGTCATTAGCTTTAGGGAGTGAAATAAAGTCACCAGTGCAGGATAAAGCCATTACTAGTGAAATCCTACAGTACGCTCACTCCTTGCGGCAAGAGGAGCCCACTGTACAAAACCCACCAAAATTTGGGGTTGTTCTACAGGTGAAAAACTCACTGACATAGCTTGGCTACACAAGGGATGGTTACAATCCTTCCCAATTGTTCCTGTGCATGAATACCGCGTCGTCATCCCTATTAGGTGTTAGGGCCAGTTACATCTAAAGCGGCTTATCTACGACATCAAGTGTCTGTTGCAGCTCGAACAGCAGTGTAGAGAATGTGCTGGACAGCAGGGTACCGTGAATACTAGGGGGCCAAACTCGGTTCTTCGTTACACGAACCAACCCCGGTATAAGACATCCTTAACTGTACCCAGTAACGTATTTAGGAACCTTGCAGCGATTTGATAAGCTGCAGCGGTGAAGACTGTATTGAGGTCCACGTCGACCAGCAGGGGTGGGTGTTATGCAAAGAGCGGCAGAGCGTCACACTGGCAACTCACCCTTGGAGGTAAACCATGTCTTTGGGATCCGCATATCAGCAGTGATTCATTCGCCTTAATGCACTGGATTATACCGCGGATATTGCTTTCCAGTGCCGGAATATGCGACGAAATAATCATCAAACAGCCGAGGAAAGGACTTTTAATTTGGTAAGAGGCAACCGTGAAAGAATGAAGCCCCTTACATGCGCCAGCGGAAAAGCGTAGAGAATGGAGAATACTGGGAGTTTGATGCCATTGCAATCCTGTATAATTGTAGTTTTGATGTAAGGACGGATATTGATGGCGTATGGTACCTGGGAAGCAGCTTCCAAGTCTAGTTTCCCACTTAGCAAGCCCGAATGTGCTTTTTGCGACCATTCAAAGAAGGGCAGAGTCATGGATGTGACCGAGATAGCCGAACAGACCTTGAACACTTCATGCCTCTCTCCAGCCTGCCAGCAACAGGACTACGCGGAGATCGAGAAAAGGTACGAGGCCGAGCGGCATCAGCAGCTTCAAACTCGAGGAAAGATCCCTGATGTCAACATCCGCACAAACACGCGGTTCGAGCAGTTCTCAAAGGACCCTTGGCTTGATGATTCGAACAAGAGACAGCAGATACAATACCATCAACGTCGTCACAATGGTAAACATCACAAAGTCCTGATTATTGGGGCCGGGTATGGCGGCCTTCTATTTGCGGTTCGGATCATCCAGACCGGGGCATTCACTGCTGATGATATCCTGATGGTCGACACATCAGGCGGGTTTGGAGGTACCTGGTATTGGAATCGATATCCAGGGCTGATGTGTGATGTCGAGAGCTACATCTACATGCCCCTCCTTGAAGAAACAGGGTACATGCCGCGAGCTAAATACGCCTCCGGACCTGAGTTGAGGGTTCATGCGGAGCGCATTGCTGACACCTGGAAGCTCTCAAACCGTGCCATGTTTGGGGTGACTGTCAAAAGCCTGGACTGGGATGAAGTTGGAAAACACTGGAGTGCGCGAGGTTTGGTTCTTGATTACGAGAAAGACCAGAGCAAAAAGGCCAGCCTTCATCTGAGCGCTGATTTTGTCATGCTCGCGTCCGGCATTTTTGCCAGTCCTAAAATCCCAGACTTCACGAGCATCTTGGAGTACCATGGCCACATGTTCCACACTTCTCGCTGGGACTACGGCTGCACAGGTGGATCGCCGGAAAATCCGAAGCTGTGCAAACTGGGTGATAAGAAGGTCGGCATCATCGGAACTGGTGCCACTGCCATCCAAGTGGTGCCGCACCTGGCACAGTACAGCAAGGAATTACATGTTTTCCAGCGAACCCCTTCTGCTGTGGATAAGCGCGACAACCACCCGACAGATCCGGTATGGTGGAATAAAATGCTTCAATCGGAGGGCCCCGGCTGGCAGAAGAGACGCATGGAGAACTTCAATGCTTTCACTGGCAACGAACAGCCACAGCCAGCGGTCGACATGATCGCGGATGGCTGGACTTCCATGCCTTCTTTCAGTATTATTGGCGGATCGCCGGAGAGTAATGCGACCGACTATCTACACCGCATGAAAGCATTTGACTTTCCGAGACAGGAACGGATTCGTGCGCGCGTGAGGGAGACTGTCCACAACAAGGAGGTGGCGGAGGCGTTGTCCCCGTGGTATCCCGGATGGTGCAAACGGCCATGTTTCCATGATCACTATTTGGCCGCCTTCAATCGCCCAAATGTGAGACTTATTGATGTTCGTCAGAGCGGTATCGATCACTTCACGCCGAAAGGCTTGGTGGCGGACGGCAGAGAACACGAGATTGATGTCTTCGTTTTCAGTACAGGCTACACGACTTCACGGTCGAGTCCCGGGGGGCGCGCTGACATAGCCATAACCGGCCGTAATGGGCTAACGATGGAGCACAAATGGCAGAATGGCCTGGCAACACTCCACGGAGTCATCACACGCGATTTCCCCAATCTATTCTTTCCGGGCCCTAGTCAAGCCGGAACGTGTTTGAACCACACCTACACCCTGGACCAGCTGGCCACACACGTGGCTTATATAATCTCAAAGACGTTGATAAAGATCGGAGCCGCTGATGCGGGGTACTCCCCTCGAGTGGTGATTGAGCCAACTAAGGAAGCAGAGGAGGATTGGGCTGTGCAAGTGTTGGCGCGGGCCGCAACTCATGGCGCGCTCAGTCAATGTACGCCTGGATACTACAATCGCGACGGCATGGCCAGCGCCATGAAAAGTCTGTCGATGGAAGACAAAATGAAGTTAGGCCGGATGGTGTCGTGGGGAGAGGGGATCGGCAGCTACATGGATCAGATTGTGAACTGGAGAGGGCAAGGGGAACTTAGGGGTCTCGAGATACATTGTGTAGACTAATCACACTCAATCTCACACTTATTTCTTTAGCGGAGAGTTGAGCATCCCCAAAGCCAATGAATGTATGCATAGAACGGCGGAATGAGGGTTCTTTCCAGGGCGCAGAGTTATTCAGACATCTTCTCTCTGACTTCAGTGCGCCGTCATTCTCCAATCCATGCTTGACTACGGGCAACTATCTATACGGACAGCTTCTATCTCCTACATCCCCTATGATACGGTCTACGTCAGGCTTCAACGGTTTGTTGCGTCATAATGCAATTTGGAGAAATAGTATCGTTTGACTACTATCGCGAAGGTATTCTTTTCCCCAATTTTCACAACAATTTTAATATCATAACTACTCGCGCAGCCCCAGAATGAGGTGCTTATAGTAGCCCTCAATCAATAGCTGCAGGAAGCGTTCTCATTCGAGGACAATTTTAGAAGAGGGGGAAAAATGAGAAAGAGAAAATAAAAAGGCCGCATTTCTAATACTCTCTGAGTGTAGGTTGGTTGGGTTAGTAACCTAAAGAAGAACTGCCCAAAGAACGGTATGCTGTTCGGCTGGTCACCTGTATTAACCCAGGCCCTGCCTGCTAAAAATCAACCTTCTAACACCCATTTACTCTGATTCTGGACATCCAATGAACATGCGCGTTTGCAATGAGTTAGCTACATTCTATTTATGTGGGTCCAAGTAGGTAATTTATTAATTATGCAGCGGTCAGAATCAATACTCTCACTGAAATATGTTACCGTCCTTATTGTCATTTCAAACCCAACAAGTCTTTGCTTCTCATAAATGCGTATTTTTAAAAACATACAAGCAGTGACTTCCGAGAAAAGCAGGGACTTACTCTTATGAATTACATAACGGCCTGGAATTCCCCAGAGGCATAGATAGGAAACCTAAGACAATTTTCGTTCATCTGAAAAGGCCTCGTCTTTATCGAATACTACATAACAGGGTACTTTAACCCCTTCATCGTCATTCTTGTGTTTCAAGCAGAACAGCGCACAAAAGCCGGCACACAGAAAGCACTATGACACAAGGAAAGCATTGCGTACCTCAAGGTTCTACCATCCTTGTCACTGGGGCCAATGGATATCTCGCGTCTGCAATTACCAAGCTTCTCTTAGAGCTAGGGTACAAAGTCCGCGGAACAGTTCGAGCCCCAAAGCCGTGGCTGAACCATTACTTTGAGGAGAGATACGGCTCTGGCAATTTTGAAACAGTCATAATCACGGACTTTCAAGATACGGACACCTGGGATCAGGCGCTCGAGGGAATATCAGGGATCGCACACGTTGTATGAAACCTTAGATGCCGAATTACGTATTCAATGGAAACGCTGACCTGCTTGTTCTTTTCAAACTAAGGCTCATGACATGGCCTGGAGTTCAGATCCGAATATTGCTGTTAGGGGCCCTGTTAAAGCGATCTTGAATATCCTTGACATAGCCTCCAAACATGACTCCGTGAAGCGAATTGTCCTGACATCCACCATTGGTGCTGCTCCTTGCATCGATATCAACGGCAACCCGGCGACTACTCCAGTCAACGACGGTATGCCAGTTGTTCTCACCAGGTCAAATACAAGTAGGCGCAAACTGACACTTCAATGTAGATGACTGGAACGACTTCGCTGTCGAAGCAGCATGGAGTGACTCAACACCAGAGGAGCAGAGGGTATATATCAATCACTGTGCGGCAAAGGTCGAAGGAGACAGGAAGGCTCTCCAATGGGTCCAAGATAATCAACCTGGATTCGACGTGAATATTGTCATGCCTGGATTCTCGGTAAGCGTTTTAGGGCAAGAATACCAAGGGTACATTGTGATCTGAATGAATGCCTTTGCACTATAGGTAGGCAGGATACTTCACGCAAGCATCACTGGTCAATCCATGCGCGAAATCGTCGGACTTCTTCAAGGAAAGCCTACAAAGATGTTCGAATTCGTCCCTCGTACGTATTTTATCCTCTCTCAACCTTCCAAATGGTCAGTCCCACGAGCTAAGTATAAACAGCATGGTTCATCAATACTGAAGACGTTGCTCGACTTCACGTCATTGCACTGCTGAAGCCCGAAGTCAGCTCTCAGCGAATCTTCGCCTGCGCTAGTCCTTTCACCTGGAAGGAAGTGGTTAGCATCTTGAGGGAGCTCGACCCAAGTAATACCCTCATTCCGGACGCCCCCGACGAGAACCGCAGGCCTTGCCATGTCATCCCTGCAACCGAAGCGGAAAGGTTAATCCAGGATTTCTTTGGGCGCAACGGCTTTACCTCGCTCAGAGACAGTCTTGCAAGCGCCGTCACCAAGTCCGCCTGAGTCTCTTTCCTCTAGGAAATGACAAGGGCTGTCTGCCTAAATGTTTCTGATCATCTACGGTCGCTTGTAACATGTAGGGAAGACAGTCCGGCCCTCAGGGTTGGAATGACGTCTATGCAATAGGTTCTATACGTCTATAGAAGATGAAGATAGCTGCTGCTAGAAAAGCAATATCACTGGACAGGCTATCAGTGGAAAGATCCATGCATGTATTGTCTAGAACCGCAATTGTGCGATGCAGTAGTAATTTCAGATTCGATTTGCTTTCCCATGCGTGCATGATAAGCTGACCAAGGTTTTTGGCATCACATCAGTAACAATGACCTCTTTCCCACAACTTCACACCATAGGATTATTACGGTAGATGTGAATAAAAAAATAATAGGTTACTTAGTATTTTCGCTTCCTACGCAACATCACAAGGATAGATCACAGACTCCAAACTTCTCTGACCGCCATTTTCCCACGGTTATTGATTGTTTCGCGGTATGTATGTCCATCCCCTGCTAACCCCTTGATCAAGTGTGGGGTGAATATGACTTAGGAGGATGTTGCGAAAAGGAATCATAATGTAGAGCACAGAGCCCGCCCTAGGGAGGCATACCTAGCCGCTTCATCTCGAGCTTGTACCACGTCAGATAAATCTTGTGGTGGACGATAGTAAGGACATTCTGCATCGCCGTGCTACGAACAATGCTAGCGTGTCAAGCCAGCTACGACGCGCTCAACAGTGCCCCAATGAGGAGATTGTGGGTGCGGTGAAACAGATGCAGCCGTTGGATTTTTGGGATAATATGAAGTTTCACAATACATTTCCTCCCTATTTTTTTCAATTCAGTCTTACAATTATCCCAATATCCCTGGCATACGCAGCCGAAAAGGCGGGAGCTGCTTAACGATTGTGTCGATACTTGTCCATCGCACCCTCATCGTAGTAGGCAGCATACCGAGACTCAACGTGTCATAGATGCTTATCACATTGTGGAAGTGCATCTGGAATCGGTCTGGCTACATCTGCAACAGTTCTGATGAGGCCGCGCAAGCCTTTGGGTGTAAGTGTCTTCCCCCTCACCGACTTCGCTGCACTGGCATCGGTGATTTAGTGCATGTGGATGGAGGATTGATGGTTTACGCAAAATTGTAGGGGCTTTAGACCTGCCTGGAGGTGACAGAACCGTGTCAGAGAATTTATGGGATCAATGAACAGCGGTGAGTATAGCTGCTTTCGTCAGGCTCATATCATGAGTGACCAGAAGAGCAGAAGCGTTGTGAAAGTAGCCCGCAAGGATTCGCGTACCGTATAGATTGTAGTTTCGAGTGTTGGTGGTGGGGACTATGTAAACCAAATTGAAAACAAGCAATTCCATTCGCTGCCATGCCCATCTAAGCAACTAAATTTCTTTTTTGCTAGAGCGCGCCGCTCAATCTACAGTGTCAAAAGCAGAATCAGAAAATGGCTCTTAATACTACTAGGAGCCCAATGTTCTCCCAAGACAAGGAACCAACGGAGTATCAATCTCCTCCTAATAATCCTGTACTGCATGGAGACATTCCTGTATCGCCTGTACTGTCATGCTTGCATGACTCTCTCCCATAGTACTGCATATCTGTCGAGAAGGTCTATATATGCATACTTTCGTAGTTTACAAAAGAAAATTATGGACATTACGTGTCATCCCAGACCGCTGCATTGGCAATTACGTCAGGTCTCTAGAGATCTAATTGCTATATAAGTTGCAATAGACTTTCCACCCTTTTTATGCCTTATCAGTCTATTGACCACATATGTGCTTGGTTGTCCTTCACACTACCTCGCTTTTTAAGGTCCCATATCGACTGCTTCAGCAAAAATGACCGTTTCAACTCCTTCCAAACCTCATATCTGTCGATTCCCTCCGGGTGCGGACCCGGATGTCATTAATCAGGCTTTTCGAGAGGATGGAGTCGTTATTCTCGAGGGCTTCCTGACTCCCGCGCAAGTTGACAAGGTCAATTGCGAAATGAAGCCTCACCTGGCGAAGGTCCGAGGGGGAAATATGCGTTATGGCCCCATGGACACCTCTTTAGAAACAACACTCGAGCCTGAGCGAAGGCGTATACACAATCTTGCCGGACTGAGCGAGACCTTCCGCCAGGATATCCTAAACCATCCCCTGATGCATGAACTGTCTCGCAGGGTCTTCTCTGAATTTGGAGATTACTGGCAATACGCGGGCAGCGTGATTGATTGTGCCCCTGGCACTCCCGACCAGTTCCTGCACCGCGACCAGCCAGCACAGAAATTGTTCAATGTCGGTCCAGATGCCCCGGAAGGCTTCATCAATTTCCTCACAGCCTTGACCGATTTCACCAAGACGAATGGGGCAACCCGATTTGTGTGGGGTAGTCACAGAGATTGGATTGACAAGTCAGACGAGAATCATCCCATCGTGGTTGCGGAAGTAAAAGCCGGGGACTCGCTCTTCTTCAGCGGGAAAATCGTGCACGGTGGCAGTTTCAATGGCACGAACGATACCTACCGCTCCTCGGTGGCGTTGCCGATTGTGCCTTGTATCATGACTCCGTATGAGGCTAATATCCACATTCCACGATCGACTGTTGAGACGATGACTCCCCTCGCGCAAAGAATGATCGGCTGGAGATCTGCATGCCTACCTGATCCCTACGCAATTGGGACCTGGACGTTGAATATGAACGAACTCGGTGAGCAGATGGGCTTGAAATCGAAAGGATATTTGGAGAATTAGGGGGTTTAAGGCGCACCTGTCTCCTCTCCGGTATTCCTTGCCGACCAGGTACATCGCCATTGGTTAATTAGGAAGAGTGAGATAGCTTCCCGTGATAGCCTGTTTATCTCCAATACGAATTCGGGTACTCAGCATCTATATTCCAATTTTTAGTATCTTTATCATCGTAGCATCCGTAAAATGGCGAAGTGACCACAGTATACAGGGATGTTGATCTTCTGAGCTATTTGGTGCGCTAAACCCAAAATACCAAACTAATGAAATTAGACCTACTTAGGCAAGAATATGTCCAATCGCTCAAGATATATATCTATACCGTCTAATCCAACAAAAATATATCTTGTTTCCTATCACCGTAAACGTCTAACCACCTCAGTGTAAGCAGCCAAACATCTAGTTATGTGCTCTGCCGATTCCCTTGCTCGAGGAAGCCCCAAAGTAGATTAACACTGATACGAGGGACTGCAACTACCTGTTGATGCCTATTTGACCTGTCCACCTGTCAAAGTCGACTCAAGCCTTCAAAGCTGGCAAAAACAAACCCGCGCATATACAGACAGATAGATCCGCTTAATTCAAGGTCTCTTCGTTCGTCTCATAATATTCTCCACCACAGTGATCATCAGCCGCCTTGGGGTCAATAACACATCGAGGATCCCGCTTGTCCACCCAACCGAGGAATGGTGCTGATGGCGCGTAGCCCACGAGCCTCTGGAGCCACGTGGGAAACCTTCCGACTGTTATCGGGTCATATGTGAGATATTGGTTCTCCTCTTGCCGCAGGTGGCTCCGAGTGACAATCGTCGCTGCGAGAACTCGTGGTCGATTGGTACTCCGGTTGTCGGTACTGCTATGAGTTACGCTGCTGAGCATGAAGTAACAGTCGCCAGGATGCAGTTCAGCGTAACGAATCCGAGTGTCATCAGCACTTGGAAAATCTTGGCTGTAGTCCCACAGATGACTTCCTGGGAAAAATCGAGTTGTGCCATTCTCTCGCGTGGATTCCGTTAAAGCGAGAAACATGGACATGCTTATGTCTCGGCCGACTGTGTACTCACTCGCTGCCTCATTCCAGCCGTAATGAATCGCGTCATCGCGGTGTAGATGCTCACCGGGTGACTGTGGGTTGATGTAGGAGCAGATAGTAGAGTCGAGCTGGGGGGGACTGGTGAATGTCATCATCTTCCCACCTATCCATGACCGAAAGGTGGTACTGAGAAAGTGGTTCCGAACTTTCTCAAACACGCTGTTTCCCACAACCATATGGGCATAGATCTCCGATTTGCTGAGCAATCCTGTCAGATGGCAGCCATTGCCGGGGTAGCCTGCACAGCACCATATCGTTATTGCTCGAACAGTAATTATTGGTGATCAGGAGAATTAACATGCAATTAAGGGGTGAATAATATAAAGCTGACCATGAATAGAGCATTGTATGGCATACCGTCAAATAGTTTAGTGGACGACACGTGAGGCTCGAAATCCTTGAGTACCTGATCAACCAGGGACTTAGTGAATAAGTTCCTCACAACGCAGACCCCAGCTAAGGTCATGGCCTCGATAATCTCTGCGACAAGAGTATCTTCACTTCTGTGCAGACTGGAGTCTAGATCCGGTATCTCAGAGACATTGGAGTTCTGGCTTCGCTTGTGAGATACCTGATCTCTGCCCATCGTTGTGAATCCGTAAGGGTGCTATAAGAAATGGTGAGTTCAAGAAATAAATTTGAGGTGATCAGATGTATGTATCAGTACCCCTGGTTAATCGAATAACCTGAGATTAAATGAACGTGAATGTGATCCAGATGCTTGTCATTACCCTCACATTAAAGGCCCCTTCCTGCATTTCACCAACCAATCCCGTACGCATAACCCTAACAACACCGCCATCAGCTAGAAGGACACGTCAGCACAGAGGATACATGTGTAGTCACTCCCTAGTATACCTTTTGCCTGGTAGAGCCCAAAGAGCTGGACTTTGAGGTGGTAACCGAAAGGAAGACCGAGGGATACATTATGCATAATCCATATTGTGTTACTCGCTTGGCTGGTGGCCACATTCTCCCTGGACAAGTTTGACCCGATAATAAGAGGGCATCGAGAAAACCACAATGTAAGGGACTCTATGGAATGGGCCGCAGTGAATCTCATTTACAGGGAGGAATTGAAAGATCTCACTCACCGCTTATAGACTTTTGAGAGGAAAGGCCAGCGCCAAGAGCCAGTTTAGACGAGAAAATGTCCCTTAGGAAAGAATAAACTATGAGCCGGCCACTTCAAGTCCTTTTCCTATTCCCTCTACAACTAAGTCGCTCCTGTATCTCCTATCTCGCACTTTCCTTTGGATGCCTTCCCATATCCTGCCTTACACGTTTCATCCAACATGTTGAAGCCAGCTATTATCATTGTTCCCGGAGCCCTGCACAGGCCAGAACATTACCAAGGCATTGTCAGCCGACTCCACAAGCTTCAGTACGAGGCAGTGGCTGTATCGATGCCGTCCTTGAGTTCTAGTCCACCACAGCCGACTTGGACCGAGGATGTTGAAGCAATCCGCAAGGCGATATTTAAATTTTCTGAATCAGGCCAGGATGTCGTCTTGGTTGGTCATTCCTATAGTGGAATCCTGATTTCAGAGGCCTCCAAAGGTCTCAGCAGGAAAGACCTCCCTCATGGTGAGGGTGCCGTTGTAAGATTGATCTATATGTGTGCCATAGCCGTGCCTGTTGGCGAAAGCCTTACAGGTCAGCTGGAACCAAGAACACCGCAAGAGGTGGAAGCATTCCGTGAGGTTTACGCCAGAGCTGGGGGATTGGGTCCAGACGAAGTATACAAATTCCCTTTTCTCTTTCTTACATCGTTTTGGCAAAATATAATGACCACGTATCGTCATCACCAGGAGGGCTCGATCAGTCTCCTCGACGCAGATAAGGTCCGAGATGTCTTGTACAACAAGTGCGAACCCAAGGTTGCCGATTGGGCCATCAGTCTCCTGGGCAAACAACCGGTAACCACCATGAGTACGCCGGCAACTCATGCCGCATGGCTGGAGATTCCAAGTACCTATCTTATTTGCGAAGACGATCTGGCCGTACCGGAGTGTGTGCAGTTAAGGATGGCTAAGCAGGGGAATGGTGCGTTCGATATTGTCAGATGCCAAGAGGGCCATGCGCCATGCCTCAGTAACCCTGATCTGGTCGTCAGGATGATTAGAAACGCTGCAGGGGAAGCAATCGAGATCTAGCTAAAACGTCGTATCTGAACTCATAGGGGGAAATGGCGATGGGTAGCAGATACCTCACGATATTTATGACTACGATAGATATTCTGAGTTATAGCGAAATCCACCGGGTCGCCCATCTAATAGCTCCGTTCACTTGCTCTCCGAAGCATAATTTCTACTCATCTATGCTCTATACGAACAGAGACACATACGAAGAGAGACACTTCGGAAAATCTAAGTAAACCTGCAACTATTATTGGAAGTAATTACCTGTAAGTGGGAAACGTATCATGTCTCCATTCGTCACTCGAGGCTAGTAGAATACAGTTACAGCCACTTTGGGCTGCGTCAGCGTGTCCCACGGTATATCAAATAATGCAAAGATGCCGACCCAGGAGACTCATAGGAATATCCAATCCAATGCTAATGAAGTCCTAATTATCAACCTATCAAAGGCTAGTCGGCAGCCTGATGAGTTTATGGAATTACTTGGCATTCAACATGCAGATACACTGGAAGTTGTACGTTACAGGCAGATGGGCAATCGAGACTTTGCCAAGCAAGTAAATGCATACATGGAATGGACAGTCAGGAATGGCAGCCGTGGATCCGCAAAGTAAGGGCTAACCTATGTAAATACTCAACCTCAGTAAGGCTAAATATAGGTAGCAATAACCCTGATTATGTGGCATTACCAGTGAGAAATATCTCACAGTAACCCTAGGAATGCAATATCCTTGTATTTCACCATCAGCAAGGGTTGTGCATCACTTCACTCCCTCTCAAACGTTCAAGCAGAGATGAAGAACACATAAACAGCATGCAAGGGTGCTTAGCCACATATCTGTCCCTCAGCGAATCATTGTCGTTTTTTCCCTTGCTCTCCTTTCATACAGTCCGCCGGCTGGCACGGCAAATTGGTTCGGCCTGGTTCGGCCTGATGTAGTTGACGCCATATCGAAGCCTCCAAGGATTGACAAACATACATGAAGTTGCTCTAAGAAATTATTGAGACCACAGAATCACCCATCGAACCAGCACTCTTCGAAACCACTTAGCTTTAACACCGTGGCTAGCTCATATTGATTTTATTCCTCGTATCCATAGCACCTATGCCTGGCGCTATTTCAGAATAGAAGTGTTACTGTCTGTGGGACAATCAAGAAAGTCCTTTCAACCACAATTGATAGTTCCATTCTCTTAACCGCTACTGTCCATTGATCCTGTACCTCTTTCGATGACCATGGGGAGTCTCCACGATTACGTATGCAATAAATTCAATGAAACGATTGCTTTATTATATCTAACTCTTTGATAGGTCCTGATTATCACTGGAAGTGCGTCCGGTATTGGCCTTGCGACAGCCACCATAGCCCTAGATGAAGGTGCCAGGGTATTAGGTGTTGACATCTCCTCCCCTCCCAGGTCCCTTATTGATCACTCAAACTTCAAATTCGTTGAAGGCAATCTGTCTCTTGAGCCAACTCCGAGACGGGTTGTTGAGGCGTGTGTCAAGGCATTTGGTGGCAGAATCGACGGACTGTTGAACATCGCAGGGGTCATGGATCTCAATCAAAGTGTCGACAGCCTATCAGACACTATGTGGGAAAGCTGTATTGCAATCAATTTGACTGCGCCCGTGAAGCTGATGCGTGAGGTTATTCCGATCATGAGGCAACAGAAGAGCGGAAGCATCGTGAATGTGGCAAGCAAAGCTGCATTGAGCGGCGCAGTATCTGGGGTTGCTTACACAGCGAGTCAGTGAGGTCAAGTAGCTTGCCAGTTATGATACATCTGCTGAGATTTCCCCGGACTATATAGGCAAACACGGATTAGTCGGGGCTACGAAGAACGTTGCGTGGAGATTCAAGCAGGAGAATATACGCTGTAACGCCGTCTGTCCGGGGGGTAAGCTGGCATGACTAGCCTGGATTCAACGACGTAGCTAACACAGTAGTTAGCTGTTGATGGTACCAGCATTCACAGAGGACTAGAAACGAGCCAATTTGATAGTGAGGCATTGGGAACAATGTCACTAATCCACGAGGCTCATATGCGTGACAGAGAAAGGGGAATCCACATTCAGCCTGAGGATATCGCACGCAGTCTTCTGTTCCTGGTGTCTAGTCGCAGCAATGGGATTAATGGTGCTATTATCCCCATTGACAACGCCTGGTCAACAATCTAGGTGATCGATAAAGGTACAGAGGTGTTTAAATCCAGATAATTATTTAGTTGTGTGATTTGGACCGCACTTGAGCATTTTGTATCTCAGGGTCTTCTGAAATGCACTTCAGGGTCTTCTGAAATGCACTTCTGAGTTGATATTTGCGACTTATACCATATATTCTGCTTGTTATCTGCCTTTCATTTCCTTAGGTTTGCTCTCTGATGGATTGTGATACATAACTAAGCGATCAATGAATACCTGATAAAGAAAACGGAACAACTGGATACGAATGAAACAAATTTTGACTCAAGGCGAGCATCTATCACCTGAGATGCTAGCCGCTTCCACCGCCATCACATTCTATGCTTCAGAGAGCGCTTTACACGCGCAAATAATATTCCACGAACAGGCCAACTACCCAGAACAGGCTCGCAATGAGGCAGGCCAATTTCGCGTATGACTCCACTTGGGGCGCCTTGCCTACGCCCGTTGTTTTCAGAAAGTAAAGAAAACCACCAAAGTGACCCCCAACTGACAGTACTGTAAATGGGATGCCTAAGCCGGAGTAATATCCTGCCGCTAGGAGTGCACCGGTGGATGCGTAGAAGAAGGCATAAGAGAGCAGCTCTATCGAGTGCTTGAATCGCACCGCCATACTCTTGACACCGACTTTCATATCCTCCTCCGTGTCCTGCCGAGAGTAAACAACATCAATCATGACAATCACCAGTGCAATAAAAAGGAACATGAAAAAGGTAGGCTTCTTGTACGCTAGAGGATCCAGACCGAGGCTGTGCATTGACATCGGGATAGCCCATCCAATATTCACCAAGATGAGCTGCGGGAAGTCGGTGAACCGCTTACCGAAAGGGTAAAGAAGGGCGAAGAATATTTCGATAAGTGCCTCGATGGCGCACTCCCTCGGCAAAAAGGACAAGAGGGACCCTCCACAGGCGAAGATCCCGGCGGTTAACATGACAGCGTTCCATGACGACACGGCACCGCGAGGAAGAGGCCGGAGTCTTGTGCGAGCAATCTGACGATCCAGATCCATATCGATCACGTCATTCCAAACGCACCCAGCACTTCGGAGGAAAAGGGACCAAAGGACCAAGATCAGCAGCCGGTCCAGCAAGATTGTGGCTGGAAGCTTGGTCGGGGCCACCGCCGCGCCGAAGACAACGCCCACCACATAGGGAGACGTGTTGAGATAATAACCCAGCGGTCGATGAACCCTCATGAGTTCAGCATATGGCACCAGTGAAGGAGGAAGACTGCTGAGAACTTTTCCACGGGCTTCATCTTCTCCATTTTGAGCTTTCCCACCCATGCCGCTGGAACGGGCACTCTTGTCGTGATTCGAAAAATTCAGAAGCTCGACTGATAAGCCACCTCTGTAAGTGATCAATAGGATTTGTTTTGATGCTAGCTTATACAGCGGATACAATAACGAGGATGATAGGGTAATCATGGACATATAAGAACGTCACTATCCTCTTGTCCACTTTGAAGGCCAGAGGGTTCTATAGATTTATTCTATGATTCAGATAAACACAGCATATTTGGTCCACTAGTGCCAGCAATGACGTAACCAAAGCTTTGATCCCCAGAGGATGTATGCCATTTGCAAATCTTCGGATCCCGGAATCCCGGCCCTCATACCCCTTGCTGTAACTATCGGTGGTGCTTATGTCTGGGTGATTTTCTTGGCATCCTTCGCATTTGCGGCTAATCCCTTCGGCCTACCAATGAAGGAGGGACCTGCATTGCGGTTTGTTAACACCTAGAGAATGGTTGAATGAGTCGGATTCTATGGCTTAATACTAGGATGCTTGGAGTAGAGGACATGGTGCTATCTGAATGTGGCGGGCGACAGGATCCCCCAGTGTGTAGGGGTAGCGAATTATATGTGACCAAGCAATCATGACTCCAGGACTGATACAGTATGCCGGATACATGAGCAGTTTAGCTTAGAACGACTCTCTCTCAACATTGTCCCTCGCTCCTCCGCAATGCCCCCTCCCCTCAGCATGTATAGAAGTGGCGGTGGGCTCACTGACACTGCAGTAATCTGGACAAGCATCCAGTTCTCTCCTTGCATGTTACGCCAAGAGCATGCACCATACCTTGTTACCTGCACTGATTTGTGAGTGGTACAGACTAAAGCCACCATCCCACTGACCATCTTGTCTTTCCTTGCCGGTTGTTGAAATTGCGCCATATCCCTTGCTGTTAGCATTTGACGGAACATACGCACCATCTGGCCCGTGACTCCAATTCCTATTTACAGATGCGCCGACTTTTGGCGGCAAGCCCGGAGGGACCTATGAGACAGGCCCTATGTCACATGCAGCAGATAAGTCGCAGGCGGACCGCAAGTTTAACTCCCATCCTTAACGTCGCGGGCAGGAGGAATGGAATGTCTCTGTCGGCGGGCTGCTTTGGCCGCCACAGGAATGCATGACAGCAGTATATAGACGTGGATCGAAAGAGTCTGGCTCAGTCTCTGAATGGTATTGCTGCACTATGCCTTTACGGTTAATGGTATCGGAGTGCAACCACCCTCAACGAGCAACTTCCCCCATATGGGGCATCTAAAAACAATGACAGGGGAGGCCGTCATTTAGACTTCACGCTTTGTGTAGGACTGTCCAATACGCTGCCAAGATGTTTACCGGTACCATTAGTCCAACGATGTGTCGGCTCGGTCTTCACTAGGTAGGCTCCTGAATACTCTACGAAGTGTACGACGGATTTCCGGGCATCGTCCAAAGAATGTATCTGGATGATTCATGTATACAAAAACTTAGTCCAAATGGCCAAGCATAAGTGTGAATTACATTAGAAGTGAAATTTGGAACCTTTATATGAGTCAAATTTTGCCTGCCGAAATACAAAATAAACCAGTCTAGAACTGAACACGATCGGAAAGAAATTTATATCCATCAGCCACAGCTTTCATTTCCTGAGGATGATGTGTAAAGGTTGGAGAAATATCAAATAAATGTACCGAGTCATCCAGGGCCCTGAGTTCTGCCTCGACCCCGTTGGCAATCATAGTGGCGAATGTCCTTTTTACCTGTTCTAGGGGAATCAAATCGTCCAGTCCTCCATGAATCATGAAGGTCGGGGTTCGGTAGTGGCCGGCCGATATCTGCCAGGTTGGGCAGATTTGTTGGATTTCTATCGCTGTCGGCCGCGGTAGGTCCTGGCTGCCGGTCATTAGAATATTCTTATAGTTCCATCCATGCAGCAAGACAGGCAACGTTTGCCCTCTCCAGTTCATGTAAAGAGCAATCCGACTGCGAGGATCACTGGTTGACATCCAACCCCCGGCGCATGTTTGGTGCTTGGCGGATTATAGCTCGTGATCGGAGTATCATTTACTGCATCCCAAATATTGTACACTTCATCTGGGGAGCGATGTCTCGGCCGTAGGGAAAGTTTGGCTGCGACCAGAATGGATCACTGTAGTCTGTAGGACAATAGAATGAGAGGATTGCTTCTGGCGCACGGACTCCACACAGTGAGGCCGTCCAGGACAGGGTCATTGCTAGATGACCCCCAGTCGACCACCCCACCGCCACCACCTGGTCACCGTTCGGGCGAATGTCAGGTCGTTTGAGGGACAGCCTAGGGAGTGTCCGGCGGGTCCAAACCAGAGCGTCGCGAACGTCTCGCATTGGTCCTTCGGTTAGGGATGTTTCGGGACAGAGCCTATAGTCAATGCTAACTGGGAGGAATCCTGAATTTAGTAGCATCTTGATCTGCTGGGAACGGATGTCCTTGCGGGACAGCATAACGTGGCCTCCGCCATGAATTAAAAGAGCTACTAGCTTGTCAACGAAACTGGAACGAGCCTCACGAGTCATTCTAAGGCTAACCAACCGATGGGGCGACGGCGGTGTGCATCATCGACTTCAGAAGGGTAGTAGATATCGGCCAGGAGCTGGACACCGTCTTTCTCATCGTACTTCACGGTCTCCTCCGTTACCAGAGGCGACCGGAAAAGTATCTGCGAAGCCCCATGGGGCAGGGTAGGCGATGCTACAATAAGACGAAGAATTTCTGACTCCCTTGAATCATTGCACGACCAGTTCACCCAATTGTAGCCCGCCTGACGGAGAGATTCGTTCCAAAACTGCTCAGTTGCAAGTGCATGGTTCCTCCCGTCGTTGAATAGCCACCAGCCTTCAAGAAGCCCGAACACAAGGTCAAACCAAAACAGATTCCGAGTCAACTCAATCAGACATAAAATGCCATCCGGCCGCAATAATTTCCGGATATTGTCGCAGGAGTGAGCAATGTTGCGCGTGGCGTGAATGCAATTCGTGGATAGAACGATATCATACTGCCCCAGTAGATCATCCGGAGGATCCTGTTCAATATTCAGCGTGGCGTATTGTATACAGCTGTACCCGTTGAACTTCTTCTTTGCTAGCGTAACCAATGAAGTTGATATGTCCGTAAATGTATACTCAAACCTTAACCCGGGGACCGCTGCCAGCTGGCTCACCAGGTACTTTGTCGTGCCTCCTGTCCCGGCACCGATCTCGAGAATTTTGATATCTCTGCGAGAGCGAAGAAGGATCACAAGATCCTGGAGGTACTGGGCCAAGTGCATGGTGGCTGACTTGAACATTGGAGCATTAGTATAAACATCCTCCATCACTCGTCGCGCATCTGCGTTCTGGAAGAGGAGGGCCAACGGATCCGCGCTACCGGACAGACACTCTGCTAGCCGGGAGCCCGTTGTACGTAGCAGGGTATGCTCCGAGGCATGGTGCGGGTATTCCTTGATGATATCCTCATGCAAGAGTAGAGAAGTGTCGCTGGGGACCGCCTCCGCCGTGCGGAACATCCCATCATCTTTCCTGCAGATCAGCTTGGAGAATTTCAGCACCTCGTAGAGTTGATTCCGCACGCTCTCGTGCTGAGGGAGCACAGGGATGAGGGGTACGGCCTGCCCAGCATGCAGTAATTCGAGAGGATATCCCAAGGCCCGGAAGGCCTCCACCACATATGCCGTTACCAGAGCCATTTGCTTCGGGAAAACCGATTCACAGAAGCCAGCCCACTTGGTTATCTGACTGTAGTCAGTGTTGGCCTGGGTTGTCCCGAAGAGATCGTAGGCTTTTTGCGCGAGCATCAGGGCGTCGGGGGGAGCAGGGCCATTGAACACGGACTCTGCCAGATCACTCAGGGGAGGCATTTTACTTGTTGTGGCTTGTTTCTGAGCGACAGATGCTCCGGGGAAAATGGCTTGCACCAGGCACTGGATATCAGGGATCTCTCCCAGCTCGGCACTGGTGATATTGACGCCGAATCTCTTCTTGATCTCCGTCAACACTTCGGTGCTCATGAGGGAGTCAACTCCGATTGCCATCAGCGAAGAATATGGGCTAAGCTCATCCAGTCCGACACCAAGCAGATCACTCAACATCGCCTGAATGGCTGGAAACTTGTTTGTATCAACTGTGGCTGCCGTGGGAGGCGGGCGATCAACAACATTTAGGATGGAATTGACCTCCTTGTGACCAGCTGAAGGTTCATTCGTGGCGAGCATGCTGGGTTGGTGGTTGTTGAGTTTGGCCAAGGTTCGTGTGAGAGCGCGAATCGAGACGGAAGTAAATGTGGCCGCCAAGATAGCGATAGCCAGCTGTCCAGACTTCTGGTCCATGACAAAAACATCACACGCGACTTGGCCTTTGGACAGACGGTCATAGTTAGAATACACTCTCCAAGGCTGGGGGGCCGCAGGATCCCGTTTCATGAAGACTTCCCCAATGAAAGCCTCTCCTACTGCGCTGCAGACGTACACTTCGTCCTCCGGCACGTCAGCTAGACAGTTAACATGAACACCAGCGACTTGGACAAAGTTGTCAATCAGGATTGGGTCGCAGGCGCTCTCTCTGCTGAGCGACAATGGCACGAAGACCCGCCCTGTAGCTTCGGTAGAGACGCAAAACACACTCTCTACTCCGCGATAATAGTCGGCATAGTTCACCACCCGGCGGAAGGCCTGGTAGACGGCAGATCCCTTCAAGCCACTTGAGGATGGCAAGCTCGCAATCGAATCAGGTCTCGAAGGGTTCATCAACCGATCCAATGACCGGAAACGGGAAAGGATCGTCGACGTGCTGTCGAATGGGTGCAGGGAGATTCTTCCTGTTGCATGACTGACTGGAGCCTTCTGCCCAGCCTGTGTGAAGAGCGAGAACGTCCACGCGGTCTTCTCTGCTGGCGATTGGGACAGGCGTAGTAAGACATCCCCGTCTGGTTCTAAGACCAGGGGAGCCGAGATAGAGAGCTCTTGCAGGTGCGGCATCGCCGTGATGAGGCCCGCCGAGGAGAGGCAGCCGGCGGCGCTGACAACCATTTCCAGATACAGGGATGCCGGACAGAGATTTTGCTCCACGACAGCATGGCCCTGAGTGCACGTCCGGTATAGAGGGTCCTTTGTGTTGACGCTAAACAGACATTCGCTGGGCCGCTTCTCCAGCACCTGAACCAGGCCCATGGGCTCCGAGGAGGCTTCGGCGATAGGGGCCGAGGCAGGAAGAAAGGCCAAAGGGTCATACTCAGTCCAATGGCTAGTCTTTGCAAATTGATACGGGGAAGGTTAATCCACTTATAGGAATTGGCCTGGGAGCGGTGGAACGGCCAGAATTGTACTGGGATACCATTGGCCCACAGCCCACTCGTCGCTTTGGCCAGATTGGCCTGCGCCTGGGGGCTCTTCAGATCACTTGCTTGGTAGAGATGGGCTCTCGAAGATGATGACTCCTCAACGACGCGACGAACCATGGAGACGATCGGGGAGGCTGATCCGGCCTCTAGCCAGACCACGGGCCCCTGAACATGGTTGGCTGCGCGCTGGACGGCTGAATCGAAGTGTACGGGCATGCGACTGTGCGCCACGATCTGGTCAGGAGTGACGCAGGTCCACGCACTCCCGTCTTCGGAGCAAGCTTCAACGGGGATTGTGGTCGGGTGATACTTCAAGGACTGGGCCAGTTTCCGTAGTCCCGGGACAATGCTATCTACCAGGCGTGAATGGAAGGCATGAGTATTGGGCAACCGCTTGATCCGCATCCCGTCCGCCAGCTTTTCGACAACCTGGATGGAAATCTCGTCCCCAGCAAGCACGTAGCTGCGTGCTCCATTATAGCAGGCCAGATCCACGGTATCCCCAGCCCGGTTCACCAAGGCACGGACCTCGGCCTCGCTAGCATCAACAGAAAGCATGACGCCATGATCACCCGCCCAGCTAGTTTCAATGAGTCGGGCACGCTCGGAGACCAGCCGGATTGCATCTATCAGCGTCAAGCCGCCGGCTACACACAATGCCGTCAGCTGACCAAAGCTGTGACCAAGCATACGTTTGACCTGAAGCCCTGAGTGGATCCAACACATAGCACTGGCATACTGGATGGCGAAAAGGATGCAATGGAGGTTCACCAAATCGTGAATGGGTTCCTCCTGAAAAATAGTCGGAAAAAGACTGGGGAGACCCATGGACTGACAGATCTTTTCACAGTCCGCCAAATGAGCCTGGAGGAGGTGACAACCGGCAAAGAGGTCCTGGGAGATATGGGCCGTGTTCCCGTTCTGGCCCCCAAAACACAAGATGACCGACGGAGCCTGTGCCGGACGCTGCTGTAAATCTGTGACCCCAGCCGCCACCGACTCGAGCTGGCTCAACAAAGTCATCGGATCCTGGCTCGGGGTGGGAAAACTGACGAGGAAGTCTAGATCCCGGTTCTGTTTGATAGCGAGGTTATAAGTGATGTCGCGCATTGTGCAGCCAAGAAGTCCTGCAGTCTGCCTAAGAAAGGCTTGCATTTTGTAACAGTAAGACCGGAGAGACTCTGGGGACTTGGCCGCGACGAAAACCGGAACATCGGAGAGCCATGAGCTGCCTGTATTTGTGGTAATTGTGTGTTGCCGCAGGACGATGGCGGCGTTGCTCCCTGCAGCCCCATAGTTGGTGACCATCGCCACCCGCCTGGCCGATTTCCAATCAGTGGACTGTTTGGGGATGACGATCCGATCGCCCTCTGGCGCGGGAATTTTCGGGTTGAGGCGCGAAAAGTTCGCTTGCTTGGGGATCCTACCCTTCTGCATCATTAGGATCGTTTTCACGAGACCGGCCACGCCGGATGAGGTCTCAGTGTGACCGATGTTGTCCTTGATGGAACCAACGTAGAGCTCCTCGCTCCGATGACGGCCCCCAAACATCCTCCGGATGCTATCGAACTCGATAGGGTCCCCTACTTGCGTTCCTGTCCTCGGGTCAACCAACGCCAAATAGCTGGAAGGGGGAGGAGGTCTATCTGACTTACCAGTGCCGTGAGCCTCTACGTAAGTGACATCCTCTGGAGCAATGCCCGATGCTGCCAGGGATTTACCATAGAGTGACATCTGCGATTCGGACACTGGAACCGTGATTGGCGAGCAGTTAGATCCCTGATTGACTGCGGTCCCGGTGATCACCGCCAGAATGGGATCGACATCGGAGATGGCGTCCTCCAGCGGCCGCAATACAACCAGTCCGGCGCCCTCGCCCCGGCAATATCCGTCAGCATCAGCATCAAACGCCTTAGATGCCCCGGTTGGGGACAAGAAGGAAGCGGCTGCAAGGTTCTGCGTCACTTTCGGGCTGGTCATGACGTTCACGCCTCCCGCAATGGCAACAGAGCAGTCTTTGGTGCGCAACGCCTATTTGACTAGGGTTAACCGAATACAGAAATTAAGCAGGCACGGATCGACCAACTTACCTGGCATGCTAGATGAATAGCGACGGCTGCCGACGAGCACGCAGTGTCGACAACCACTGACGGACCACTCCAACCGAAATAATGGCTGATACGACCCGTGTTGAAGGCCTGGAGCGTCCCAGGAGCCGAATAGGCGTTCGCATGATGCGACCCGACATTATCAGTGTAGTCGTCTGAACCGACGCCCACATAGCATCCGACATCCCGGGGAATTTGAGAACTGCGCAGACCGCAGTATCCCGCTGACTCCATGGCTTCGTAGGCGACCTGCAAAAGAAGCCTTTGCTGAGGGTCCATTGTCGCCGCCTCTCGAGCGGAGATGCCAAAGAAGCGGTGATCAAACATGTCGGGTTCTTCCAGATAATGTCCCCAGTACGGACCCTTGGGCTCGCGCAAGAGCTCGACCATCTTAAGTCGATCGTTGGGCAGTGGCTTCACGGCACATTTCCCCAGCTCCAGCATCTCCCAGAGCTCCTCCACTGAATTCGCCTGAGGGTACCGACAGGCCATGCCGGTGACCGCGATTGGTCGTACCGGAGCTGCCCCAGTACCATTGATGGCCTCATAGCAGCCGTCGACCGGCGACGAAGTGCTGGGTGTCAGGTTACTATAAGAGAGTACCTGCCCGTTACTTGTAAAGCCCCACCGTACACAGTCCGAATCAGCTTGCTTTGGGCCATTCGAGGCACGCACTGGTGGGGCCCGATTGATACCAAGCGGATGCTCTCATCCGTCATTGTTATGCTTGCCAACGCCGCCGTCACAGTTATGAGCCACTGCGATCGAAAACATAATATGGATTGTAGGGCGATTGTGTGTAGCTGTCCCGTACGTATTACTTCGCCATTGATATTGGATCTTAGGGGCAAAGACAGGGAACTGGCATCGGGCAATTGAAACCGACAGTCTCGTTCGCAGAGCCTTGACATCTGCTCTACCGCCGCGGTATGGTCAGGATGGTGGAATCTTCCACACAGACGGATTTCTCGGACCGAGAGGCCGTGATTGGCCAGGTCCTGGATCATCTGCGGTGCCAGGCTCTTTGGCACAGTCAGAGTCGCTCTGTTGGCGTCGGTGACGCACGCAATATAAGCCTAGATCTCATGGTCAACAGGGTCGTCTGGATCCAGAAGATTAACCCACCTCTGGATGAGCTGCAAGGACCTGTTCTAGCCGATCATAATCCTCTTCCCCATCCCATCTTACTGCCATTGACCTCGCCCGATGAACAGCCAGTTCATCCAAGTCAACTAAACCCCCAATACAGACAGCCAGACGAATGATTTTAGATACTAACGCACGGAATGCAGTCTCGTCGCAGGACGCAGCTACCGCTGTGGCAGCCAGAAACCCTACACAGAATCCTTGAACGTCTCTGGCTTGGAATCCCTTCATGGTCTCTTTGACCTTGTAAAATTCAACAATGTGTCGGATCACCGTCACTGGTGTGGTGATGACATTCATTGCCTCATCGGACGCTGGGAAGGGCCCGCCATTGAAGAAGCGCCCCAATGCGACGAGTTGTTCCTCACCAGGAACTTGACTCAAAGCCGGCCAGGCATTCTTGATCTCTGGCCACAGTGAAGGTAGCTCCAGCACTAAATCAACAAGATATCGCACTGCCGGCTGTTCCAGAACATAGCTCCGTATGCAGGACAGCGCCTCGTCCATGTCAGAAGACTGTGGTCCGAACAGGATCCCAACATCGCATCTTTCGGTGTCCGAAGGTTCCATGGCGGGGATGAGACGGTACAGTAGGCTCGCCAGACGTCTAAAGCTTGATCATTTAATTTCAATTGGTCAGAAAGCGCGCTGGGAAAGAGCCGTCCAGTCGAGGGCATTGGAGTGTACTAAGAGAGGTAAAGAAGTTCTTCTTCCTTCAGGACTCCTATAGGCGTTGCGGATATTTGGCTCTCTTTTAAGAGTGTTCCTTTCGTCCCAGTCTTTCCCATAACGTGCTGTCGGGCCTAACATTCCTCATCAGGGTTAGGATGATGCAGGATCCTGCAATGCTTATCTTTTGCCCTCCCATGTTGTGCTTTTGTGGCGGAGCGAAACTGGCAAGGGATGATACACATCCAGGAGGAATGAGTGTGCGACATGATAACTACATATATAAGCACCAATTGATCGGTTTAGCTGACGATCACAACAAATGTCTCATGTGTTTGTTGGTGTCGCTGCACCATCCATAGGCAAGGGAGGCGGCCGTGGTCGCTCCTGACGTTCCGCCAAAGTATCCCAGCTCCCCTTGCCGTATCAATCAGGCGGCATCTGGACACATTTCAATTCGAGAGGCTGAAAAACGACTCACATTCGTCGTTTACGCCGTCTATGCCCGGCTCGGTGGTATGAGTCAGGCGCACACCACTTCACACCCAGCTACTCAGCTTATTCCCTTACATGTACACTCCCTGACCGACAATTCCGAAGGCTGGTATGCCAGGACAATTTGGTAAAAACGTGTTGTATTCGCAATTCAACCTTTGTCAACTTCCTTTACTTCTTGCGGGGGTCGCAGGTCAACTTGCCCGATCTTTCGATGTAAGTGGTTGAATAGTCGATTCTCATGAGTGGTGATATTGATTAGCCATTTTAAGTTATTCAGATAACTGCTATAGACGGGGTCATATTCTGAGTAGGCGGAAGAGCATGACAAGATGTGTATTCTCGGGATTCGAAAACTCATTTTGCAGGTCTCCCTAAAAGACACGAGCAAAGATCTTTCTGTGGGAACGTGACCCCGTCCGCTGTGGCTTAGCTCCCTCGCTTAGTCATCATTAGTTAGATTTCTGGTCCCGTCCCGGGTACCCATCCAATAGACAAGCATCCATCGCTTCACCTGGATGGCGCAGTGGTCTTGCGTCGTCAAGGAAGGCTTCAAATAATCCCGGAAATCCAGAACGGGTGGGGGTCCCAATTCTGGTTCATAGGATTGGATTATGCGGAGCTCGTGGGTTCGAATCCCGCAACAGGCATTGACCTGGGTGGTGGTAAAGGGGAAGATAGGCCAGGCTGTCCGACAGCTGACATGCCCTGCCGGTTTGATGGGCCATGGTTATGGGTTATCAGGGGGGAGTACACAAGGAACCTCTCATGTAACAGGACTTGTCCTGCGTCTTTACCGTCTTGGATCAACTGTCAGATAATACTTGCTAGGGGGCTACATGCAGCCTATGGCCGCGAGAAGCCTGAGAAATCAATAAATAAATAAATCCATCGCTTCACACTTTCCACCAATGTCGTGAACATAATTTGTCTTCACCGCTTTCTTGCTATTGCTTTTCTACCAAGGTCTCTACTGCCGTTACTCTCTCAATCAAGCCTAGCTTAGTTAATTTGGGCGCTAAATTAGTAACCAGATTCCTATACCAATTCTTTCTTTTGTGAAAGGCCTTGGAGTCTATACCCACTCTTCCTTTTACTAGTATAGTGACTCACCCGCCAGTACTGGGGATACGAGTCGAGGAATTAGGAATTCAGCGGTGGCAGTGGGACTAACGACATGCCAATCTTGTCCACTCTTAGTGATTGTTACATCCTGTGGCGCCCCCCACTACTACCAACCTGCATCGTCTGTCCAATGCTCCTTCAACGGTGTTGCAACCTTGGGCAAAAGAGACTGAACGATTTTGTCTGATCAGTTAGTAATATGCCTGTATGTATGCTGGCTGAATGTAGAAGCAGGCTCACTGAGATTCCGGTTCAGCTTCCCCCGGATACTGTCTGGTAGGACGTCGTTTCTAGCTAATTCTTGGAAAACTTCCAATCCTGAAGTATGTGGATGAAACACAGATTCAAGATATTTTTGGAATCGCAATGCAGGGTGGTTACTGAACTCATTTGCAAACTTTGGCGCGAGCACAAGCAGAGGTCTATCTGGTGTTGAAATACGCACGACATCGGCATGGAATACAGTTAACAGAGCTGAATGACATGCACTGGGGATGCGGTACCTTGTGAATACTAGTTCTAATCAAGTCAGGCAGCTATTCAGCAAACCTTCGTCGTGCATGATACCCCCTGAAGCCAAATGGTCCCTTCCCACCGATTGAATATGACGTCTGAGAGGATATGATGAGGATAGTTGCTGTCGAGAGCATGAGCAGCCATGCGACTCCGGCGGCCTCCAAGCTAAGAAGGGACGTGATGAGATCAAAGGCCATTTTAGGACTGCTTTTTCTTCCACGCATGTCACTATCCAGCTTGAGTTAGCCCAATAACAGAGAATCTTAACCATGGAACTTGAACTGTTTAGCCTATGAAGAGAGCGAAAACAAGTCTCTTATAGAGAAATAACCGCAAGCCCACACCTTGCAGTGACTGTGGTACCCAGGGTTCTTAGGTGGCAGTCACGAAAATTTACTAGTGCAATCTACCTTATTGTTACAGAGGTACTGAGACGCAGCGAGCATTCCATACTGGGTGGTATAGTTCCCATTTCAGGTTGACCACATTACAACCTAATATTATTGGATGACTGCGTATGGGCGGCGATCGCTAACGTAGCATTGGGATGAGATGTTTCCCGGTCCATCCTGGTAGGACAGCATCATGGAGGCAAGGAGGAGCTGCAGGCTACCCTGAGCCCTTACTTCCACCAGTCGCCTATCCTTAGTGAAGTAGATTGTCCCCTTTAGAGAATTTCAAGTAAGTCCGTCCAGACGTCGGCGTGTATCCAGGGTAACTCCATTATCTCCACTAGAAGCCCTAAGATGTAGTCAGATTCTATCGGCAACGTCGGATAGTGCGGAACGCAATTTGAAGGTGGCAATTCAAATCAATGGGTAGCAAAGTACTGAAGGCCAGTACAATCCCCTTATTTTTTGGTAGTTGTGAATACCACATGATGGGTAAATGCAAAACTTACAGTCTGGATCCTCTCACAATGGGAACATCAACTAGTTTTGGGTCTCCAACTCCCTAGATGGACCACATAACTTACGATCCCTTTCCCCAAGTCGCGAGACCAGCCGCTTCCATTTGCTGCTCCGGTTTGAGTGTTGACTGGCTAACCCGTAGCCGTTGAGATACCCCGCGGTGTACAACCAGCGATTCCAAGGAACCCTGCTGCCTGCGTAGCTCAGTCCTCTTCGTTTGAGGTCGGCTCCACAAGCACCTTCCTGAACCGCAGAGGACACCTTTCGATTTCCTTGGAGAGGATACGGCAATATGTACTACATTTGGTCCTGAGAGAGGTTAGATTTACGCACGCCCCGGCCAGAGACGGCATAGAAAAGATTCCGGAGACCACTCGTCATCACTCTGTGGAGAGTTGCCAGGCCATTGACAGCCATCTAATATAGCTCATACTCCGCCCCGTCTACCACCAGGCCAAGACTGCCTGAACCTAACCCAAATCCATATCCAACCCACCCAATCCGCAATTTGGGTTGGAGGAGTTAACCCTGATCCAACCCATATGGATATAGATTATCGGCGAACCATGCCTGATCCGCATTGATATGGATAAACTAGACCTCGCCAAACGCGGGTTTGGGGCGGGTTTGGCCTGAAGGCAATCCATCACGGTGGTGAAGGGCCCGGTTAAAACCTTCAAAAACCTTTAAAAAGGAAAAGAAGGAAAGGTACCCGTTTGGCTTAGTCTCTCCCCGTAACCGGGTGGTGTCACTCAATGCCAAGCCCTCTCCGAAAACCATTCAAATCGTTCTCGCGGAAGAGGCTTCGTGAACCCATCAGCAATTTTGCTCTGTAGTTGGGATGTATTTCAGCTCCACTGTTTCAAGGTCTTGGACCTCTCCTTGCCATTTGCATTGGATTTCCATTCTATATAGGGAGTCATGGGTTCAGGTCAACACCACAACCATGGCCAATCTTTATGAAACCTATACCATTTGATAGAGCTCAAAGAGAGTAATCTAATGATGGTACTACCACTTGAAAATATCAGGGATTAGTGGAGTTATTCTGGGTGAAAGAAATGTAACAGAAATTTAAAAGTAGTTAGCATGCTTTAGGAGACTAACTGCTTTTAAATTTCCATTATATTTATAATTAAGGGCCATAGAATAAAGATATAAAGATAATAAATATATCAAAAAATCAAGAAAAATCAGCTAATCAGAATAGTATATATTCCATCAGGATTGAATAATAGGCGGTTGAGTAATCCATGTGGGACTGTTATTATTGAGAAACAGTTTAAAGGTTAACAGGAAACCATTAACTAGCTACTACACTTATGGCTACTAGTGGTGTTGTGCGTGGACTGCACAGCCGCCCATACTAATTAGGGCTGACCGCAGGGCCTGGTGACTGCAGTTTCCACATCCATTCCCCATCTAGTCCAGACTCTATAGCAGGACTCCATAGTTACTCCTAGACTCCACAGGAATTGCCTATCTCTCTATCAAATCTTCATCTTTTTTAATAATTGAAAATTATTTAATAATGCGAATCTGCTGCATTATAATATTCCAGTATTAGATTCAAGGATATTCACTAGGAAGGTGGTTAAACCAGGGGGGGAAGGCCATATGGTCAACATGTTAAGATTTTTTATTAGGGTCTACTAAGATAACTCTCTGCAAGAAGTATAGACCCTTAGGCCCTATACTAAAGTTTATAGGGCGGAGCAGAAGGTCAGGTCTATATAGAGTGTAGAGTATAGCTTAATTAATTATAATTTATATCTACTCTTGTGAATAGATAAGTAGTATGTAGTGTATAACTAACTAGTAGAGATCACTAAAGCAAAGGGGAATAGATAGCTTGCCAAGGTATAAAGGAAGAATAGTAGAAGGAAGTAGCATAAAGGAAGAATAGTAGAAGGAAGTAGCTAAGGATATCTTAGCTGAATGTCTTAATTCCTTGATTCTTAATTAATTGTAAAACTAGGTGAGGAGTGACCTTGAGGACATATTTATAGGCAGTGGGTAGCTGGGTGATATCACTATGCTGTCATAGTGAGATCACTATTTGCCTCTTATTAAGGTTTAACCGTACCATGGTTCTCACCAACAACTCTAGAGTCTATGTCTACTCTAGAGTTAAAGTTCCCTTAAGTAGGAGTCTTATTAGTTATAAGTATTATCCTCACCCTAAGAGCATCTTTGCTAGTCACATGACCCTACTATAATTAATTAATTAACCATCCTTATCTATATAGTGGGAAGTAGGATTAAAAGTTTCTAAGAAGTATATAATAAGGTTCACTCTCTAGACTAAGGATTAATCTCTATAACTTTCCTCCTGCCCTCACCCTACCATCTTATGGTTAGGTGACCTGGGTCTTGCCCCCTAATCCCCTAGAAATATATATATTTTGTTAAGTTTTTACCCCTAATAATTCCCACCCTTTAGGATAGCTTAAGATCCTAATAAATTACCCTAATTACTACTATCACTACTATCACTATTACCACTATTACAGAGGATGAAGACTACCCCTTCTTAGGAGAGCCTTTAATTAATAATAGTACTAAATAATATATAAAGCAGGGCAGGAAGGTCTTTCTTATAGGGTAACCTTATAAAACTCTACTACCCATGTGCATATAGAAATATATTTTAGAAGACTACTACTATTAGGGATTCCTATTCTTCCTCCACCTACACTAATAATTTATGGCCTGGTGCAAATAACACCCTGTAGCTAACCTATAGGATTAATTATTAATCTGCACTAGAATAAATAATAATTAGACTAGGGCATCTATACTATATAATAAAACCCACCACGCACCCTTATAAATAATAATCATTCTAATGCCTGATGCTAGTTAATTATTAAAAGCCTAGAGTACTAATAGCACTAAGGAGAGAGAATAAAAGGAAGACTAATACTCTCTATAAAGCCTTCTCTAAATCTAGCTATAAAAAGATTAACCCCCACAGTAATATAGGTGAGCTATAAGGGAATAATAAGGTAGCAGCTAAAAGTTATATAGCTATATACTTAAATTTTAGAAGAAGGGTAGAGATGTGGTGAACACAGAGCATAATACTATATATATAGTTACTAAATAAATAGCAAACCATGGCAGTGGCTAATCAAGATAGCAGTAGAAATAAAGCCTGTGTAAAGGCTACCTAGAGATGATTTAGTAATTTTAGCCCTGGCTAAAAGTGGATGCTAGGGTATATACATACTTAAACTTTAGAAGATAGATAGGGATAGCAGCAAACACTTAAGCAATAATACTATAGATATAGTCACTAAATAAATAGCAAACCATAGCAGTTACTGATTAAGAAGGTGGTAGAAATAAAAGCTGTGTAAAGGCTGCCTAGAGATGATTTAGTGATTTCAGCCCTAGCTAAAAGTAGATGCTAGGGTATATACATACTTAAACTTTAGAAGATAGATAGGGATGGTGGCAAATACTTAAGTAATAATACTATAGATATGGTTGCTAAATAAATAGTGAACTATAGTAGTTACTAATTAAGAAGGTGGTAGAAATAAAAGCTATATAAAGGCTACTAGAGATAATCCAGTGATTTCAGCCCTAGCTAAAAGTAGAAGATGTATACTAAGATTAGATCTTATACTATATAGCCTTTTACTAGCATTACTAAGGCCACCCTATTACTACTATTACCTCTAAAAATTATTAGTGCCTATGAGGAATAGCAGCATATAGGGGAGTAAGAAAGAAGACTCCTGTCAACCCTAGGATTAGTATGAGTACCCCCCCAGGTACTGGGCCATTATACTGTTAGGGGGGTACACAGGGTAAGCCAGTACCCCCCTTAACTTTATCAAATCTTAATATTTTTAAATGATTTAAAATGATTTATGATTCTAATTAGCTAAATTATTATATTCTAATATTAAATTCTAGATTATTCACCAGGAAGGTGGTCAAACTAGGAGGGTAGGGGTAAGGTTGAAAATTTTTGTTGGGGTATGCCAAGACCACTATCTGCGGGAAGCCTATACCCTTCTAGGCCACCACCTGGTATAGATTAGTGCCTGAGGCATATATTAGCCTAGCAGAGTCTTAGAATTCAGGCAGAACATATAAGAAAAATAATTTCTAGTATTTATGAAGAGTATAGTACTAGATGACTAATAATTAATATTTTTAGTGAATAGTAGGGACTTTTAGCTATAGAATGATAATAGTCTGATTATATAAGCATGATTCCTGATTTTTTAAAAATCCTTAAAAAACTTGTTGAAATTTATTACCTGCTGACTAATCATCACTATTTTTAGTGAACTGGCCTAATTTTAACTAGAAGAATGATATATAGCATGCTTAGTGATACTAGGCCTAGAATTTTTAAAAATTCATAGAAGTTAATGTTTTGTGGATTTCATTTAGAGAGTAGGTCTAGACTTAGTGGTCTAGTAGGGAGAGGCCTATAAGCAGGCTATCTAGACTAGATGTTTCAGCTTCAATAGGTCCCTGTGTGGGCTATCTTAACTAGATGATTCAGGTTCAATAGGTCCCTGCATGGGCTATCTTAACTAGGTGATTCGGCTTTGATAGTTCCCTGCGTGGGCTATCTCAACTAGGTGATTTGGTATGGCTCAGCCTAGTGATTCTGCTTCGATAGTTCCCTGCGTGGGCTATCTCAACTAGGTGATTTGGTATGGCTCAGCCTAGTGATTCGGCTTCGATAGGTCCCTGCGTGGGCTATCTTAACTAGATGATTCAGCTTCGATAGGTCCCTGCGTGGGCTATCTCAACTAGGTGATTTGGTATGGCTCAGCCTAGTGATTCGGCTTTGATAGGTCCCTGTGTGGACTATCTAGACTAGGTGATTCGGCTTTGATAGTTCCCTGGTGTGGGCTATCTAGACTAGTTGTTTCGGTATGGCTTAACCTAGTGATTTGGCTTCGATAGGTCCCTGCGTGGGCTATCTTAAATAGATGATTCAGCTGCAATAGGTCCCTGCACAAGGGGCCTAGATGAGGTGATTCAGCATGGTTAGGCCTAGAATATATATATAGTATAGTCATCCAGATTTAGGGACACCTTTGACTAGTGAATATATATATCTAAATATATATATAGAACAAAGAGAAAAAAAATATATATTCAACTCATGCTAGCCTAGTGATTCTAGAATCTTCCAGATCTATCTAGGCCTACCAACCATATCTAGCAGAATGAGAAATAGCAAATCTATAGAATAATAGTGCCCCTAGCACCATCTCTGTATCTAGCTCCCACCTCTTCAAGATAACATTCTCTAGCCTAGCTGCCTGAGGCAGTAAGCTAGTATCTAGGCAGCTAGCAGGGTCATGCTCTAGCTCCTCCTTATACTCAATGACTAGGCACCAGAATACCCTAATTAGATCAGATGAGAAACAGGCCTGGCCATCCTGGGTAAGGAGAGGGCCCCTGCATGCCCTAGTAGGTAGGAGACACCTAAAGCAGCAGGTTTCTGCCTCAGGCTTCCCATGTTGCTGCCTTAGCCTAGTTGCATCCATCTGATATTCCTTCCACTGAGAACATTCACTAGTGCCATGAGCACATGACCTCATTCTTGCTTCCTGACGATTCAGGTTTTCATCTTCTAGATCATAGGTTAGCATAGATTCAATAGATCCATAGATTCAATAGATCCATAGATTCAATAGATCCATAGATTTAATAGATCCATAGATTTAATAGATCCATAGATTTAATAGATCCATAGATTTAATAGATCCATAGATTCAATAGATAGCTTACCTTGAATAAAGCAGATCAGGCAGTATCTTTCATGCCAGAATCTCATTGCTTTTGCAAAGAAATCAATCTGGATATGATTCTGCCCCTCTTCCTGCCTAACTGCCTGCCTAACTAGGCCTAGTGTTGATTGCCTATGCTCACATAGATCACAGAGGGCCCAGCTAGGGTCACATGACTTAATAGCCCTAGCATTAAAAACCCTAGATATCACACGTCGCCTGCAGACCTGATCACCTAGATAATTCAGGAATGTGGTGACCTCTAGGGCTTCACCTTCCTGATTAGGCCTAGCCTGCATCCAGAATGCCTTCACTAGGCAATATGACCATCCAGGTTGATCAGGTGATCTACCTGCGCGACCAGATTCCTGCATGAAACTAGTCATCTCATATTGACCAGGCATGAAATGGATGACTAAGTCAACATCAGGGAAATCATACCCTGCCCCAATGGCACCAGTAGCCACTAAGATATATCTGCTAGATTGAAATAGATCTAGCTGATCTAGCTTAGCCTGATCTGATAGATCAGCCTGGAATTTGGCTGCCTCAGGCTCCAACTCATCAGATATGGCATTCACTAGCCGTTTAGACCGGCAGAAGATGATCACTTTAGCCCTAGCCCTAGCACTAGACCTGAATGGGCCATGTTTCATCTCAAAGCTCTTGATAAACTGCCTGAGATAGGGGGCATATTCTGATTCAGGCAGGTTATTAGGGACCTTCTCTACCCTATATGCCTACTAGTGGTGTTGTGCGCGGACTCCACGGTTCCCATACTAAATAGGGCCGACCGCAGGGCCTGGTGACCGCAGTTTCCATGTCCATTCCCCGTCTAGTCCAGACTCCACAGTGGGACTCCATAGTCGCTCCTGGACTCCATGGGAATCGCCCATCTCTCCATCAAATCTTCATCTTTTTCGATGATTGAAAATCATTTGATAATGCGAATCCGCTGCATTATAACATTCCAGTATTAGATTCAAGGATATTCGCTGGGAAGGTGGTCAAACCAGGGGGGGAAGGCCGTATGGTCAACATGTTGAGATTTTTTGTTGGGGTCTGCCAAGATGACTCTCTGCAAGAAGTATAGACCCTCAGGCCCTATACTAAAGTTAGTAGGGCGGAGCAGAAGGTCGGGTCCGCGCAGAGTGCAGAGTGCAGCTTAATCAGTTACAATTCACATCTACTCTGGAGTCCATGTCTACTCTAGAGTTGAAGTTCCCTTAAGCAGGAGTCTTGTTAGTTATAAGTGTTATCCTCACCCTGAGAGCATCTTTGCCAGTCACGCGACCCCACTATGATTGATTAGTTATGAATTGATTGATCCATCCTACATATTAGGATGATGGATGGATCAATTAATCAACCATCCTCATCTATATAGTGGGAAGTAGGATTAAAAGTTTCTAAGAAGTATGCAGTGAGGTTTACTCTCTAGACCAAGGATTAATCTCCATAACTTTCCTCCTGCCCTCACCCTACCATCTTACAGTTGGGTGACCTGGGTCTTGCCCCCTAATCCCCTAGAAATGTATACATTTTGTTAAGTGTTTACCCCAATAATTCCCACCCTTCAGGGTGGCTTGAGATCCTAATAAATTACCCCAATCACTACTATTACTACTATCACTATTACCACTATTACAGAGGATGAAGACTACCCCTTCTTAGGAGAGCCTTCAATTGATAATAGTGCTGGATAATGTATGAAGCAGGGCAGGAAGGTCTTTCTTATAGGGTAACCTCATAAAACTCCACTACCCATGTGCGTGCGGAAATATATTTTGGAAGACTACTACTATTAGGGATTCCTATTCTTCCTCCACCCACACTAATAATTCATGGCCTGGTGCAAATAACGCCCTGCGGCTAACCTATAGGATTGATCATTGATCTGCACTGGAATAAATAACAATTAGACTAGGGCATTCATGCTATGTAATAAAACCCACCACCCACCCTTGCAAATAACAATCATTCTGATGCCTAATGCTAGTTAATTATCAAAAGCCCAGAGCACCAACAGCACCAAGGAGAGAGGATAAAAGGAAGACTAGTACTCTCTGCAAAGCCTTCTCTAAATCCAGCTATGAAAAGATCAACCCCCACAGTGACACAGGTGAGCTATGAGGGAATAATAAGGTGGCAGCCAAAAGTTATGTAGCTGCATGCTCAAATTTCAGAAGAAGGGTAGGGATGGCGGTGAATACTTAAGCAATGATACTGCAGATGCGGTCACTAAATGAATAGTGAACCATGGCAGTCACTAATTAAGAAGGCAGCAGAAATGAAAGCTGTGCAAAGGCCGCCCAGAGATGATTCAGTGATTTCAGCCCTGGCTAAAAGTGGATGCTAGGGTATGTGCATGCTCAAACTTTGGAAGATAGATAGGGATGGCAGTGAATACTTAAGCAATGATACTATAGATATGGTTGCTAAATAAATAGCAAACTATAGCAGTCACTAATTAAGAAGGTGGCAGAAATGAAAGCCATGCAAAGGCCACCAGAGATAATCTAGTGATTTCAGCCCTGGCTGAAAGTAGAAGATGCATACCAAGATCAGACCTTATACTGCACAGCCTTTTACTAGCATCACTAAGGCCGCCCCATTACTGCTATCACCTCTAAAAAATTATTAGTGCCTGTGAGGAATAGCAGCGTGCAGGGGAGCAAGGGAGAAGACTTACTAACTAGCTGCTATTATTTATGTTTCTAGGTCATAGGCTGCGCAGGGGGCGCCTAAGGCAGGAGGAAGGGTGACTGATGGTCAGGGGGCAATCCACATGGGGTATTAGACTTTGGAGACTGTGGCACCATGGGTGGTGTAAAGCTAAGTAGAGAGCTCTCTCCTAAGACCTTAATTACTCTTGCAGCACTCACTCTGATCACTCCCTACTAGCTAGGGGGTGGTGTAGTTAGATCACCGCCCCTAACAACTCTCTACAGCCTCGCCAGCTGCCGCGCATGAGTCTAAAGCCTAAGGTTAGCTTGATATCCACATTAAGGGGAAGTATAAGGAATGAATATAGGGGGCATACTGGCTCTAACTGCTGTAGCTTATCATTATCAACCTTTTCATCATCATTATTATCCTGAGAGCTAGGGCCCTGACCACTGCTGCTGTGGTCATCCCCATTACTGTTATCATTGTTGTTGTGGGGAGAGCCAGGGCGACGACCCCTATTACCAGGGCTAGGGCTGTCTCTGCCACTATCTACATCTGAACCTGAGTAGCTAGCTTTAGACTCGCTGCAGCTGCTCTCCTTGGTGGGGGACCCTTTCTCAGAGTCTAAGACCATATACTTAGTGGATTTATACTACGTCACTGGTTAGTTTTAGTTATACAGATAAACTCACAATCCTAGGCTTTTTAGCCAGAGCTAAACCACTAGCCAAATATCAGCTCCGGTTAAAAGGTGGAGGGGTAAGTATTAGATAGGTAGTACTTTACCTTACTAGCTATAGTCTTAGTGCACTTTCATCACACGCAGGCCTTAGTTAGTGAATCCTGCCTGACTCTCTCTCTCTTACAGCCCCTAGGCGTCATGCAGGCTTTTATCTAGTCCAGATCTTGCTGTAGTAGGCTAAGATCATCCAGGTGCTTAACATTCAGCTAACTGGCTGGCTGCCTAAGCATATGGCAGAGATAATCCACCACAGCCTGCTGGATGACCTTAGCCTTAGCCTGGTCAGCAGCTTGCTCATCTTCACTGTCATCCTTTGCCTGTGCTGCCATGACCATAGGCTTCAGTAGATCATATAGTTACACTGAGAATTGCAGGAGGGCCTTAAGCGTGTTATTACACTCTAACCATCTGGATATGGTATGCTCTTAGAAGATAGACTTAGAAGATAGACTACACCTTCTAGCTACTTTGCTGCCTAAGGCGGTGGACACATCCCACCGCCTGAAAAAGTATATTAAGATTCAAGGGCGGCTTGAGGAGGATCACACAGCTATACTCTGTATAGAGGTTAAGGCTGTGGGCCCTATATTAGTAGGATGTAAGCAGGATGCAGCAAGAGGATTAGGAGTTAGTGAACTCAGCAGCAGCCTCCTAGCAGGCCACCTCTCCCATCTAGGCCTGGATGGTAATATATAGGATGCTAATTGCATCCAAAAACATCTCCACCATCCACATTACCATTAGCCAGTGACAGAAGATCAAAAAATAGGGTTGCTTGCTAGTTAGGTTCCGCCATAGGCCCTCCTGTTAGAAAATGCAAAAGAGGTATCTAAGCTTCATATAGTCTACTAACAGGTAATATGCCACCCCTACCTACATTATAGGCATTATATTCCTCATGCCAGGCGTTATTCTCCACCAAAAATTAGCAAACCCTCTGTCGCCCCGGTCTACTGCCTTTACTATCACCAGGGCTATGGTGTTAGTTTCCGCATTAGCTGCTTAGTAATAGTCATCTAGCAGTAGTAAGAATAACAGGTGATACAGGAGGCACATTACGCGCCAGTTAAGGTGCCCCTGGCTATCACTACTAGAGGCACCAGCATGATGTACCTCCTTGTCTGGGGCGCCGCTACACTTCATCTCTATAACCAGCTAGATGAACTGGATGTGGTGCTCCTTAAGCACCCTTAGAGGGTGCTGAATATCCACTAACATTATCCACATGGGTGGGATTTTATCACTAATTAAGGCAGTCAAGTTAGAGATGTTAATAGGATCCCCCATATCTCTCTAGAGGCAGATCATGTGTATGATAACAGGCAGGGCCTAATAGGCCTCCTGGGGCACTAGATGCCCCTTCTTAAAAAGACTAACAAATGCCTTCAGCTGGAGGAGATTATATAGCAGTAGGGTTAGGAGTTAGTCTATCTCAGCAAAGCACTTATACTCTAAGAACCAATCAAAGTCAGCATTATCAGTGTCAACAGCACCATGTAAGCTCAAGGAGATGATTATAAGATAACCATAGAGATTAAAGGCGCGGTTATAAAGGGGCATTATGGTTAGAAACTAAATATAGGGGGCTTTAAGCAGACTGACTAACTAGTGCATATGTATCTAGATAGTTTTAGCTGCATGGCCCTTATCACAGACCATATAGCTAAACCATCTAGATGCTGCTAACTTATATCACTTTCCTAGTTATGCTTTTCAGCTAGAGCTGAAATCCTCTGCCTCATCCATATCTCTATTATTACCCATTTCGGCTGCATCCTGCAATAGTGCCAACTGCTCTATAGCTAGTGTATTCTTATTAGGGTTTTCATCCTCGCCATCCTTGGCTCTGTTAACCTAGTGGCCCTTACCTTTGCTATTGACCTTGGTCACTTTGGTCACAGTACATGCGGCCCAGGTACTATATAATAAGAGGATAATTATTCACAACATCTTCACATCATAGTTATTAAGCCACCTAAGTTGTTCCTCCAGGTCCGCAAGTGTATCGACGGTAAGGGACTTACATGTGTAATTTAAAGTATAGGCCAAGAGCCTGTGGAAGAGAAGGATAGTGAATGCATCACCTAACCTTACCATCAGCTCAGTCAGCCAAGTGTCAATGAGGGCAGATAGACAGAGAATAATTATTAGTCTATAGGCATGTGTTAGGTCCTTCTCTGCTTAAATTAACACATACCAGATTGCTGCAATAGTCATCATTATTTTGCCGGTGCTATAGGCATTGGTAAGGATGCCTGTGGCAACTAGGCTCACTTCTTAGCAAAGCATCTAATATGCCCCAAGACTTGCCATTTCTTAAGGGTTGTGGCTGGTTAGTTCATATTTAAAGGGATGACCAGAAGGGGGTTTAGTGGATTAAGTGCAAGTTCCTGGCAGGCACAGTTATATAAAGGTAGGTTAGTAGAGAGGGTCATCTGCCCCTTAGTATCACCAAGCTCACCCTCCTCAGCTTGCTTAGTCTCAGTTCCGCCCGCCTCACTCACAGTGAGCATGACCATCTCTAACACATTACTGGCAGCCGCCAGCTGATTCAGGAAGACTTAGGTCTCTAAATCCCCCACTAATATATCAGTGGGTTTATGAATAATGAGCTTACTCTTAAAGTCATCCATCCCCATCATATAAGAGCATAAGAGCTCTCACTCTAATTTCATTATTAGAGGCTGGGTGATCACCACCTTATTCCTAGCATAGTCTGACCTAAAGATGCGTTCAAGGCTCTCCTGGACTATATCATAGTTATTAAGTATAATAAGGTTGCCCTGATCAGCACGCTCCCTTGCTGTAATATATATGTTAACATCATCATAGCCGCCGCCAAACATATCAGCAGTAACTATGTCAGGCCGCGGGGAGTTAGGCCAATCTTAGCTAGAGCCAATACTCAGGTCAGTTAGGTTTAGGTTGTGGTAGACAGGCTCCAGTGCTGGGTTCACTTAAGGCTTGTTTTTGGCCTTTTTACCACCTTAGATCTGTTTCCACGCGAAGGCCAGCAACTTCCAGCTGTGCAGGATGTCGTATGGATTAAGGACCAGGGGATCAGTAGAGAGGTTACTTCGCAGGAAGAGTAAGCCCTTGGCTCTTATCAGTTATATGATAAACCAGAGGACCGTCAGCTCTGGGATCTGTATGTCTTTAACACCCAGGACACCAACACATGGTGCTACTAGGGCCAGCAAGACAGGGAGCATATTAGCATCCTGCAACCAGTCCACAACAGTATTCTTAACCACGCCTTTAATCTTGCCAGTATGGTCATAGTTGTTGGTGTGGACATAGATGTATTTATAGATGATATCCTTAGTTACTGGCTCATTATTAATCAAGGCCCAGATCACAGCAGAATCCTTCAGCTTAAAGCAGCCCGCAAGGCGGGTAGCACTGCTCTCCAAATTCTGGATGAAACTCTTATTATAGCTAACACCAGCAATGCCACATAGTTAAGTTATATTAGATGCCATAACTTCCTGGAAAGATTAACCATAGTCAGCCATCACTTTTACAATGCACACTCCATGATTTTAGTGCCAGCCAAAAGCTCAGCCTCCTGATGACCTAAGCCGCACTGTGAGTATTATGGTTGATTTCAGCCCCGGCTAACTTGGCCTCAGGCACCCACGCCTAATGTTGTCTCCAGCTGAAATCAGCCTGGGGGGGAATCTGCTTGATTTTAGCCCTGGCTAACTTAGCCTCAGGCGCTCACTCCAGACGTTAGCTCCGGCCGAAATCAGCCTGCAGTGGGGAATGCCTGATTTTGGCCCTGGCTAACTTGGCCTCAGGCACCCACTCTAGATATTGGCTCCGGCTGAAATTTGCCTAATTAGGCAAGGCTGATCCAACAGGTCGGAGAGGGAGGGGCTTTAGGTGATGACTTACTGCAAGAAATAACTATTTTGTAGTTGAAAGTGAAATGGAAGTTAGTGGTGATTGTAAGGGTGAAATTTATAGCTGCAATACACACAGATCAAATAGTTTTTAGATGTTGGGGATGATGTTAGCCTAGCTTTTAAATTAAGCAAGTTTGAAGACCAACACCCTTGACTCTTTTAAGTCCCTCAATTAAGGATTCACCGATTGCGGCGGGAGCCAAGGAGACTAGACAGTTGAAGGTGTGTAAATAAAGAAGGTGTTAGGAGGCGGTTTAGTGGACAAAGAATGATGAAGCCAGGTGTCAGGGATGAAAGAATGAATTTTTAGATAAAGCTCACTAAGTAATCACCAAAGACATAGATTAGCAAAGGAAGTGAGATTATGCTAATTTCACTAAGGACTAAGAGATAGCTCACTGATAGATAACTAGGGACAGGAGTCTGGTACACTGTGTGTTATTATTCACTATTAGTATCCCTTGTAAAGAGCAACGTAACTGGAATCCTTACCACTAGGTTCTGTCAGTACACTCAGGTAAAAGAAAAACATGGCTGAGCGGGTCTTTATCATAAGAAAAGAGAGTAAGTTAAACACCTAAGTGGTGGAATTTAGAAACAAGGAAACAAGCAGTAGAAAATAGAAATGAGGAACACTAGATTGCCCTGAGTTCAGCAGGCTAAAGGGTGCAAGCAATGAGACATACTAAATTCACATCTAAATGCTAGCTTGGGTGGAAATCTAATGCTTATAGGGTTTGGTACAGACAAAGAAACACCAGGGATTCTCAGGGGCATGAAGAGGAAGATAAATGACTTAGCTTTAGTATTACAATAAAGAAAAGTAATAAAGAAACTATAGATTGCTCCTGGTGCCATAGAAAGGTTTGTGAGGGGAAGTATACACGCCAGATCTACCCCTAATTCTATTAGCTCTAGCAGAAATCCACAGGTTATGTTAGTCCAAGCGAAGGAAACAGGGGAAATTTAGACGGGGAGGTGAAAAAGGAGATGTGATATTAAAGTAGAATCAATAATGAAGTTATTAGAAGCAGATACTGACCTTAAAATTGTTCATAGTTGGAGATGAGATGTTGTTAGCGATGGTATTAAGGGGAAGAAGAAGAAGAAGATAGAAGGAGGTAAGATGGAGGTGGATAAACAGAATTATGCATTATATAGCATGGGGTTGAAGCCCTAGGCAAGACATTTCATAGAAAAGTGAATGTGTTTGTGAATGTATGTTGCTGTGAACATTAAAGCTATACAGAATATACCATCAAGCAATCTAATTGGTTAAGCCTGAGCACCCACCCACAAGTGTCTTAGCTAATAATATCATTACATGATATTCAGCTGCCCTGACAGCACAGTTGGCTCTGGCCGAAATCAGGGGCACCTGGCTGGCCTGGCTGTGAGCAAGCAATAGTTAGCTCTGGCCG